TGAAAGCAAAATCACATCATCAAAATAAACCTAATTGCTTTTTATAGCAAATTCTACGAAGATTATGACGCCGTGTTTCACGACAAAACATCGTGAAAATAACATAAAATTAAGCATAAAATAAAATTACGCATGTAGTATTAAGATATCACAACAAACAGTGTTATTTTATTATAAAAAATTAGAGGTATTATAGTAGGTACCTACCTATAAGTAACAAAGTGCTATCGTTTAGGAACATTATTACCTAATTAAGATTTATTCGACAAAAATATCTGTAGGGACCACTTGACTAGTTTTGGTGGTGGTCCTTATAAACCTTTGCAGTGCAAAATATAAAATTTTCACTAAGGAATTCCCATGAATGGGGAGTCTCCCCATTTCTCGGTGCTTTCCGTTCAATCAACAAAAGGGCGAATCTAGATTGTGAGCACAATTCGTTGCACACTGATTGAAGAGTAATTATTTTATTTTATCTGGAAAACGTTTAATCGTGTAGGTAGATTCAATGTTCACTATAATGTTCGGATCGGTTCGCAAATAAACTTGCTCGCATAACAAATGCTAGCGAACTCATTTATTCCCAAATTGATTTTAACCGCCTCTGTGGTCTAGTGGTAAGACCACCTGCTTCAGACGCAGAGGTCCCGGGTTCGATTCCCAGTGGGGGCAGATTTTTCTGTTCGGTTTGGTTGGTGGTAGGGCTTGTTCTAAGTCCGCCTGGCTAGCTACCACCATCTTACCTAAGTCTGTCGCCATAACAACAATGTTAACAGCATTGTTGTGTTCCGGCAGTTAGAGGTAAGATAGCCAGTTCCTCCGTGGTTGAGGGTTCCGGGTGAAGCTCGCTTCCACCTTCGGCCTGATCGTCACTTACCATCAGGTGAGATACAGGCCAAGAGCTTCCTCGTTATGGATAAAAAAAAAATTTACTGGGCAAAATCTAAATTAACTTTGTTAACAAAATTAAATACATACCTTAGTGCCAATCTATGAAGATTTCGTTACGGGTGGTAGATTCCATTTTAATCCTAGACATTAATCTGACAAATGCTCAGAATTTCAGACCCCAGGTGTTTCTAGAACTCTATAATGATGACGCTATTATCGAAATTACTTGTTTCAAGTTTGTGGACCTTAGTGGATAAATTCTCGGGCATACGGACGGCGAGCAGGGTATTTCAATGTCAAATAAATGTAATAATTTGAAGTTTACTTGGCAATAGTAAATATTTTGTATTTGGATAAGACTTCGAAGTTCTTAGACTTTACTTATGCCCGTATTCACAAACGACGCTTGCTTATGTGAAGTAGCAAATCGAACGCACAGTATTGAATAGAGCTCTGTGATTGGTTCGTGTGTCACCCTGTGCGTCCACGCGTACTGTGAGACCTCATGGTAATGTTTGTGAATACGGGCGTTAGTTTACCTGACAAATGTTTTCGTAATCGTTCTCCTGGTAGTAAAATATCCGTCCCTACTCATAGTAGTTAATATTACTTCAATGTCCCTACTTTACTTATTTTTAAAGGTAATCTATCTACACATAAAAGAGTCCTGTTAATTATTCTGAACTGAAAAAATCTTTTTATGGTTAGTAATTTCTAAATTGTGTAACTTCTAAAGCTGGAAAGGCAATGTGCAGGGCACATAGTACGCAGAACTGACGGTCCATGGAGCAGCAAGGTTCTGGAGTGGAGGTCACGTATTGGAAAACGCAGTGAGGGACGGACGGACGACAAGGTGGACCGACGACCTCATAAAGGTAGCAGGAAGGCGCTGGATGCAGGCCGCTACCAACCGGTCGCTACCAATGGAAATCATTGGGGGCGACCTATGTTTAGCAATCGGGTGTTTTTTGTTATCACTGATGTTAGCTCTCTCAAGACGACCACCAACTCTCAAAATGCCTTCACGATCCAGAAAAGGAGTCAAAGTGGTAAGTTTGCTCTTCTTACTAACGGTACCTGCAGTTTCTTCATCATTATCATCGGCTCGAATGACCATGAATAAAGTCCAACAATGTATTTGATGATAAAATATCCTTTATTTTGATTTAGTTTCACAAAAAAACAATTCTCCCGTGACACTGTTGATGACATGACAAATTCTTCTTTTTTATTACTTTATGGTATTAAACAGACGTCCTATGGCTGAAATGATGATGATCATGAATTTCTAAATAATTATTTACTCTAATAAAATTCTTCTCCGAAAATATTATACACAGTTCCCAAAACATTATGCAATGTGACGTTTTGTGCGAACTAAGTATTGCGCAAAGAACACGAAAAGATAAATTAACTCCAAATTAAAATATGATACACGTATAATTATTATTATGTCAAAATTACTCTACACGTGTCTACAAACACAATGAAGGAAGTGCTTGATAAATTTTATCTTGAAGTTTGCCCAACAAGTTTACTTCCATCTTATCTTGAACTGTGTAATTTGTAAATTTAAGAGGAATTTGTACAAGATACTGTGAGAAGATAGATCTAAATAAAATTGGTGAACTAAGGCCTGCTGCTATTCACACAATTACGGAGTATGGTGAAATAATTAAATTGATGAAAATACAAGGGCATTTCTACGGGGACGACCGATCGACCTACTGGGGCGAAAAAAGTACCTTTAAAATTGAAGTACGGACTTGAAAAAAATCACACGTATTTATAGGACTCTTGACTTGATGGAGAGCATATTTAGAAGCCCGCCAGGTTTTACATCTCGCCTTGAAAAAATCCGAAAGTTCAAAAACGGGCGAAATTTGGCCTAAAATGGAGTGTCCGGTTTCCAGAATTTACTCGTTTTTGCTTCATAACTTTTGAAATAATAACTTCCCCATTATGAAACCCACATTCACAGAACAAGGGATAGTTAATAAAGCTATATAAATGAGTTTCTCTATTACAAGTCATTGGGTTTTAATACAGTAATACATTTAAATTTTGTCCGACGTGTGTGCCTCAATTCCGTGATTTTTACTTTTGTGCTCCTATATCACTAACAACGCACAATACGAACACCCACGCCTGATTCCCATAAACTAGCAGTTGCATTCGAGTGGTCGAGCAGTATAAAAGAGGGATCAGTCGCTTTGAGGAGCATTTTTCAGAGGTTTGAAATCACTCAGAATTTTTGGTCACTGGTCATTTCTCAAACCGGTGTGCGACATTAATAATGTTCATGAAGTATTTAAAGAGATTCTGCGAGCGAGATGATTCGTAAGGACTCTCGAAAACAGCTTGTAAACACGCCTCATAAGTGAGATGACTATAATGCTATCACCACACTTCTGTGCCATGCCGGAGGCGTTTTTTCTTCGAGAATGACGGAATTGAACTGCTTCTGTAGAGCCTTTAGTACCGGCGAAGCTCAGCTATAATGCCGTAACACCTGGTGCCTTGTTGTATTTCAGCTATTTGAGTGCCATTTTAATCGTGTACAAACTGACGTCCGATATAATATCTTCGGTATAGTGTCAGGTCAATCTAGCTCTTGGGTTTTGCAATAATTGTTTAATGTTTAAGGTTAAGAATAAATAAACAAAGAGACCCTGTGTTATGTATTTATTTGTTTTATTTAAATAAAATTAAAGTAATATATAACAATTAAGAATTTATTACAGTTCCTTATTAAAAAATTAAACATATTGATTAGGATTTTTGTTTTATTCCATTGGTATTTCAGACACATAAACCTAAAATGAACCATCTAACTAACTAATAGACCAGCAATCAGATATCAAAACGTTATAAGTATTTATTATATTAAATTATTGAAATACATTAGGTATTTCTTCATAATGTCATCAATTCTAAGTTTGCGGAGCGATTTTTATATTTGGAGATTCATTTCTCAATTCCGTGATTCATTTTCTCAATTCGGTGCTCTCTCAATTCGATGCTTAACATTTCTCATAAACCACTTCACAATATTTAGTGACAATGCTATTTTTACATTCAGAATGGAGTAACATTTATTTTTTTGTATTGAAACTACTTAAAAAACTAAATATAAATTTTAGCACCGAATTGAGAAAAAATACACCGTACAGTAGAAATGCCCACAAATCCATTAAAATTTGATTCCCGCCTTAGGCAGTTAGATTTTTTCAAGAAATAATTTTGGGAATAAAAATACTGAACATGGTCACAAAATAGAGATCAACGTCTCAACAAAAGTAAAAGACGGGAATTAGTGCTTTGTGGTATTTCTTAGGTTTACATCGAACATTCAATGATACTTGACGATGATGATGAAGAATGAAATAAAAGAATACTTTTCGAAAAAAATAATGTACCTTTTATGTAGAAAAAAGAATTTTGTTTATGTTCATACTTTGCTGCTTGCTTTGAGTCTGGTGTAAACCAGACAAAACACATTTCATTTTGTACACAACAAAATTAGGTAAAGACGTGCTGACTGTCGAACTGATATACGAAATTCGTTGCAAAATTGCTCTTATCACAACTACACAAGTCGCCATTTGATTTTGATTACATTTACAAAATTTACACGTCCCTTTGGCGCAGACTATACGCATGCTACGTCACGTACAGTCAGCGTAATAGTTGGTGACACCCAAAGTGGAGAAAATGTTGTCAAAACCCTTATATTGTAACAAAGACGTGTTGCGGACTTTTACGACTACTTTGGGTGTCACGACGAGTTATAATAATAACAAATTATAATTTATTTGCCAGTTGAGGATGAAGGCACAAGAGCACGCGGCAGGTCACCCATGCATTGGACTGATCAGGTCAAAACTGCACTCAATGGTCCACTCCACGAGTGCACAAGAAAGGCTGCAATGCGGTAGGAATGGTGATGGATTGTGAAGCTTGCCACCAAAGTGTGACGACCACAACCACTGGCAAGAGGGTAGCGACGAATAAGAAAAACTATTGACACCGACTGTACGAGATGCGTTCGCGCATAAAATAAAACGCGTGCTACTTTATCAATTGGATCAGTACGTTATTAGCTTCAACGCTATGAAGCATGGTGTTAATAATTTAAGCATTGTGATGGAAAATTGAACTAAATTATTAAACAAAATGAGTGAAGTGAATTTACAAGCCTTAGCCGACACAGGTGCGGTCTGTTTACTAATTTGCATAACAACTTAAGTAAATAATGAGCAGAGTTAATTAAGTTTTTCTATTGATTAAAACATCTTAATGACAATAAGGGTCAGAATATGTGAACAGAATACTAAACGATTTTAGTTTTATAGGCTCTATTAGCGCGTAGTAGTTAGTAAGGCATTTTGTATTTAAAATTGCTTTCAATAAGACCAAATATTTAAACGTTTGAAAAAAGGTTTGAATTTTTATGTATCTGAGATTTCAAGACATTAATCACAAGCGTAAAATCGTCTAAGTAGACATCAAAATAAGAAAAACTGTATTTAAATAAAAAAAGATGTAAGCTTTCAAAAAATATATTTATCGGATGGGAAATACAGAACCACATTTTAAAATAATTTACGGTATAATATTCTATCAATAATGAGGATTCCAAATCAAGCAATAAACTCAAAAACAATATTAAAATTACTGTTGCAATATGGAACAAAAATAAATAAAATTACCGTAATAAAAACAAGAGCAAACCTGTTTGTTTACATTAAACGCCGTTTCATCTTCCGTTCCAAGAATCAAAACAATTAAAACAACTCCAAGATGAATTGCTACGATCCAAAAACATTTCCCGAATACAAATTCAAATTAAAGCGTATACCCAGGATTGTTGACGAGCCTCCCTGTGAAATTTCCAATAACGTAAACGAAGACAACCAAAGCGTACTTCACAAAATAACTTCCCATCTCGACTCGGGTACATGTCTAGTGTAATTTGGCATCGCAAAGTCTTGGAACTCCGTCTCGGCGTCGCTCCGAAGCGTAAATTTCTCCTCTTGTTTCAACAAATACTCCTCAACATACGCCTCCCGCCAGCATCTCTCCTCACTTTTATGTTTATTAGGAAAATCTCTGCCATAAATCCGGAACCATAGTGAATCCTCTTTTACAATTCTATGGAGCCTTTTACAACATTCAGATATATTCAATACATCTCTGACAGCCAAACTCAGGAGTATTTGATGAACAATATCGTCTGGGAGACCGAAAAGATTCGCGCTCGGGAATTTATGGTAGTTCAATATGGTGCCTTTCACTGGATTTACAATTTTATCCTTGAAATCTATGAAGAGTTCGTTTAAATTTGTGAAATGCGACGGGATTCCGAGCGGTGAGATATGAATAAACTTGTTCAATTTCACACACAGTGAGTAAGCGTGTTTGTAAAGTTCTGGTATTGTAGCAATGATCAGTATAGTGTCGTTTATGGGACAGGCGATGATCTTCAATGGCATGTCCTGGAATCCGTTGAGGACAAAACTGCCTTCGTGTATAACATTCTTGGATTTTTTAGTAACCATGTAGTCTATGATGTTGATAGATCCGCTGTCGACATTTTTAAGTAGTAGGAAGTCGTTTTCTTTCATTGCAATGAGCAATAAAGCGAAAAAGAGGTCCCTTTTCAAATAGTCTGGTTTGACTAAAGCCTCTATTAGGGGGTCCATTATTTGTCGAAACTGCGGCGATTCTCCGGTCATGTTGCAGTTGGTGTATTTTTGTTCCATTTCTTGGAATTTGTTGTTTAAATCACATTTTTTGGATGATTTTTGTTTGGACAAAATGACACAATGATTTAGTAATAATGACAGCATGACATCTCAAGTCATAATATTTTTATAATTTTACGCGCCCATCATTTTAGATTTTCTTTTTTGAGCACATTAGAAAAAAAGTATTTATTAACACTCAAAGCAAAAAAGTCCAATCAATTAAAAAATATTTAAGTTTTATTTTTGAAAATCTGTTACATAAAGTATCTATTTGAATATAAATTTTGTTGGATAAAATACTGTGTTTAAACAAATCTGTTAGATTTAACAAATTATTTTATCAACTAAAATATCACCTGAATTTGTGTTGTGAATACACGAAATATAAAATAATTTAATTTTATGGGTTCGTCAATCAAATCATCCGCCTATGAATGATCCACCACTTTTAATTTCATGTTAGTTTTAAAGTAATTAAATTATGAATTTGATTCTTGATATTCTTTTATAAATATTTTCATGAATATTTTATAATTTTGGGAAAACATGAAAAAGAGACACTCCAGTAAGATTGATAACAATATCCATTGTATGCTGTGCTTATATTTTTTCCCGTTTTCGCAACATTTTATTATTTGATGCTATCCTATTACCTATAGCGATAGCCTTTCTCGATAAATCTGTACCCCCAGTGAAAACGGAGTTAAGTCGAAAATGGTGATTTTTGGGAAATCGCATTTGAAGTTAAAAAAAATCCTGCTTCGTCGCTATTAGAGATAACTTGGTGAAATATTTTTTAGGTGAAAGGTAATGTTAGATATAATTAGGCAGTGTGCCAGTTTGGTAAATATAGCATGTAGTTTTTTCGTAATTAAATAAAAACCCAGTTATATCGCCATGCACGGCAACTTTACATTCGTGTAAAGTGATGTAATGGGACATAAATCATTTTACACCACACTGAATTGACCATCCGCTAACAAGTGTAAAGTGATACATTTTACGCCATTTCTGTTGATATTTTTTTGTTTCTTTAATTTTAGAAAAAGTTGTAAAACAAACATTAGTAATTACACTATGAGGAATCATTATTTCAGGTTATTTAGGGTAAATCGTCCAAAAATTTCTACTTATATCAATATACACCAATTTTGTGATGAGAAAAAAAATGTGTAAACGGTGGACGTCCTACGATGCGCTTTCCGGTACGTAGCCTCCACTTGAACCCTGTTGCCCCATTGGCCGTCCGTTCTGCGTTTTTGTTATTACTTATTTTTTGTTTTACACCTTATAAATGTGCCTATAGACAGATGCCCGTGATAATACACGGCTCGGAAACGTGGATTTTTTGCACAGCGTCCTATGGAAGGGGCTATGCTCGGGTTTCTTTACGAAACCATATCAGAAATTAGGAGACCTGTAAACGAACTAAAGTCGCTGACATAGCCCGACGGATCAGCAAGCTGAAGTGGCAAAGGGCAAGGCACAGTAGTTCGCAGAACTGAGGCAGCAGGGTTCAAGTGGAGGCTACGTACCGGAGAGCGCATCGTAGGACTTCCACCTACAAAGTGGACCGACGACCTCATAAAGATAAGCAGGAAGGTGCTGTATACAGGCCGTTACCAAGCGGTTATTATGAAAATCATTAGGGTACAGGCCTATGTTCAGCAGTGGACGTCCTACGGCTGAAATGATGATGATGATGATGATAAAATGTTGCTTTATTTAAATTCCTACGCTAAAAAGTATCCATTTGTTTTTAGTGCCACTATGCAGTCCTAGTTTAGCTATTACGAGAAAAACTAATTTTTGCAGTTTTCATACTAGTTGCTATTCAAGTAGCCATAAGATAAAAATAATACCGGATACATAGGCTTGTGATACCTTTTTAGAATCTCAATTAACCAAGAAAGTTTTTAAGGTAATGGGCACGATGGTCTTCCTACATTTTTTTTACACGATGGCTGATCAAAAGTGCAAGACAATGAATTAATTGTTCCTTCTCTTCTGCAATTTCTTAAAATTTTCATACTTTCAAACTAGATTGTTGAACTTTAATCTTTTCTTTTGATAGCCCAACTATCCTTTATGATAAGGAAAAAAACTAGATTGAAAAGTATCCTCATTTGTAGAAATGGCATGCGAAAAAGTAATCGCAGGTGGAAATTTTCTAAAAATGCACAAAAACTTAAAAATCTTGAAATCGGTGATATTTTTACTGGGGTCAAAAATGGACGTTAGGGAGATCATGGCGAGGCCTATCGATGGTTACAGGGTTATCCATTGTTTTTGGGACACCCTGTATAAGCTGTCATTGAAGTAATATTACTACGTATAGAACAGACATCGCGAACAAAATATGTACAGTGCGGGGTGCGGGGCGGGAATTTGACGGACAGCTGTCAGTCAAATCCATGACTATCAAGTTTTATAATTTATGGCGATAAAATCTGCACCAGAAAATGTCGTACTTCATTGATAGGATTGCACGAATAGTGACGTTCCTGCGGTCGCCTCATAATAGACATTGTGAATCGATTTTGAAAAAATAAACAAATCGGCTAAATTGTGTTAAATTTTCATGGTGCTCAATAGCAAAAAGGCTCAGCTACTTACATTATTTTATTTTATTATATTGTGCGTTTCCTGTAATGTAATCTAAGCTCCCCTCTCTTAGACTAAAATTAGCCCTCCTAGACAAGTGACAAAACGTAGCAGTTGAAACATTCGAAATCACTTCGCTCTGCCGTTTTTTGGTGTTAGTTATGATAACATTTTACACATGTACGAAACTTTTGTGGTTAATGGTATTAGTCTAATTGAATCATTATACACAAAATAAATAATCATTTGTCTTTTACTTTTTGTGATATAAATTAAGTTACATTCTTTTTCACCAACCAACAATACATAGTTTTTTTTGTGTATATTAATATGAGTCATCTTATATTGTTAATCACAAATTCAATCTGAACAACTTCAATCGTGTAAAAAGTAGTAACACGAGTCGTACCTCTTGACACAATAAAAAATTGAAAGAAGCCTCCGGTACACTTTGTTAAAAGTAGACATGTATCAATATACACGAAAGAAAACTCAAAATTGGTTCACAAAGCCTTACTTGTATCATTTGGCACAAAATTATTTTCTTTTCTATACGTCGTAGAAACATACCGATTAGATACAAAAATAGCTAATTTTTCAGAGATTCACATTATGTTATAAAGTCAATTTTGATCTAAGTCGAGTTAGATCCCTTTTCACTGGGGGTACAGAAATGGGCTATTCAGTACCTCTAGTAGGAAAAACTTTCGAGTTCGTTTCGTTGCGTATTCAAAGTGTCATCGAAAAATTTTCTATGAAAAATTAAACAGCGCCCCCTAGGGCGGCTATAATATAGGGGGCGCTGTTTAATTTTTCATACAAAATTTTTCGATGACACTTTGAATACGCAACGAAACGAACTCGAAAGTTTTTCCTACTAGAGGTACAGCACAAACATAGTATTTTTGTAAATCAGTCAACAAACAAATTCTTCAGCTTCATATTATTATGTATGCCTTTGATAAACAGATTTCGTGGAAAACGCTTAATTAATTAATTTTGTAAGTAGATCTTTTGTACATAAAATTGCATTAAACACCAGAAGAGATATCTCGTCATTCAATCATACAACTTTACAGAGATCTTATCTAATAAACAAACAAATAGTAAAACTGAGTGTTTTGATAATTTAAATGTTTTACAAATTAAGATAAAGTTATATTTACTGACATTAGCCCGCGGAAAAAACCTCGGTAGCTATTATGACTGTGTTAGCCAGATTTTATAATCCTTCCTTGATGGACAGACTGACTAGTTAAAGAAGGAGAAAGCTGCTAAATTCAAAAGACTAGGACCGTTAGATAAAACAGGAGAAGGCTGATTATAAAGCATTGTACTCGAATGAATATTCGTAAGGCCCCGGCCAATAAGTTATTTTATTGCACCGCCTTTTAGTCTCTCAACTCGACCTGTGGTTGACTGGCAGAGAATGCCACCTGGCATTAAGTCCGCCACTGTACAGTCTTTTTGTGCAAAAGTATAAATAAATAAATAAGTTAAAATATTGACGTAAGATATTCTGAATTTTTAGGTCTACATTGATAGTTCCTCACAAAACTTCTTTGCGCAAATTCGACAGATGAAAATGTTCACAGCCATTTCTTGAAATTACCATTTTCAACAATGATTATCGTGAAAAATTTGGAAAACATCCCCCTCCTGATAAAGTATGCATTTTCAACGCAAAAGCACCGACCTACAGATGACCAAACCTATTTTTAATTAGTCAGAGATGCCCAAAATATTCGGGTAAAAATATTACTAAACAGTATCTACTACTGTTTGTACAAATGTGTATTCGTTATGTAAAGTAGTTTATTATCATAGCGTACGTTTATGATGATCATTTATTTAGCACGAGTGTTACTGAAGCTAGTAGGTATTATTTTAATGTGTTTTTTGCTACTAAGGTCAAGACCCTACGTGACTCAATTAAAAGTCTACATTGGTCTAGAATCTTGGACGAATATTCAATGAAGAATTTGTGAAAAAGTTAAAAAAAAAACACTGAAGATTAGATTATTTTAAATAGAGTCAGATTTTATTAGCTATCTAGCGCTTAACGTGGGTGGCGAAACCACAAAAATTAATTTCATTTAAAACTTCAGTTTGATCCAAGCGCGTTCCCAACAAACTTTTAAATTTTTGTGCCCCACTTTGGAATCCAGGACAGATAAGAGTCCTACTTTCTGACTACTAGATCTCAGAGGCATTAGTGGCGTCATAAAACATTGAATACCTATTTTTCATCATCATCATCATTTCAACCGTAAGACTGCCACTGATCCACTGCTGAACATAGGCCTCCCCCAATGTTTTCATGTTGATCGATTGGTAGCGGCCTGCCTATACAGGGTGGAAACGATAAGTGATCTCACTCGATTATTTCTAAACTATACAAGATATTGAAAAACTGGTTACTGATCCTGAAAGTGCTTCACGAGCTCTTTCAAACGGTACCAATAATAGGTTACAGAATAAACTGGAACTATCCGAAAATTAAATGTTCCCAGCTTCCATACTAAATGTATGACAACCACACAATATTAGATGTGTAATTTATTTTTTGTTAAATAGGTAATAAACTTAAAAAGTCGGTTAAATAAACTCGTAAATTGCATCTTATTTAAAATTATTTGTGAAAAACATTAGTTTTAGGCTTTACTTGCTATAATATTATCAAGAGATGAGTGCCATGACTGTGATAGTACTAAATGTATGGAAGATGGAAACATTGAATTTTTGGATAGATCCAATTTATTCTGTAAGCTATTGTTGATACCGTTGGATAGAGCTCGTGAAGCACTTTTAGGATCAGTAATTAGTTTTGCGATATCTTGTGTAGTTTTTAATATTATGTAACTTTACCAAATGTATGGAAGCTGGAAACATTGAATTTTCGGATAGTTCCAATTTATTCTGTAACCTATTATTGGTACCGTTTGAAAGAGCTCGTCAAGCACTTTCAGGATCAGTGTGCCTACCATGAGTTTACGTTAGGTGTGCTCGCTAGCGACTGCGTAAAAAAATGACATTTAAATGTATGACATATTGTGCAGCGCCCCTAGCGGCTACTTTCAAGAAATAAAATCTTCATATAATTTTTTGACGTATTCGCTAGCGAGCTCACCTAACGTAAACTCATGGTAGGCACACAGTAACCAGTTTTCAGATATCTTGTATAGTTTAGAAATAATCGAATGAGATCACTTATCGTTTCCACCCTGTATAGCTATTTTTACTGATGATGAATAAGACTGCGTAAGATTTGCATTTACAAACTCACAACGCACCCTTTGTGAACAATTAATTATCATCCATTTGAAAAGACATAAAAGTATTTATCCTTTCCTTTCAGACAATGATCGGATAGAAGCCAAAGCTCCAACACCTATGCAAGAAGTGAATGACGCGTTAAAAAAATGTGGCTTCGGACTCTTCCATATACAAATACTACTCAGCTCATTTTGTGCTTTAGTCAGCGGAATTTTGACAAGCAACACGACGTCGTATCTGTTACCGAGCGCAGAATGTGACCTGAAAATGAATCTAGTCGAAAAGGGACTGTTGAATGCTATCCCTTACATAGGTAAGACACACATTTTTGTTGCAAATTCACCTCTATCACAAGTACGTAAGATACTACAGTGTTTACCTTCACTTGCTTTACAAACAAAAGCAACTTTTACAGGGTGTAGTGACAAATAGTTCATGACGCCCAAATTGGTCAAAAAGTTGACAATTCAACCTTATTCCAATTATTGTAACAGAGACGTGGTGTTGCGAAATTTTGGCTACTTTGGGTGTAACGGTTTATTTGCAGCGTCAAACTGTACCTATGTTGGTTTTTTTTTACAAGTTTTTAACAGTTTCCAAAGCAACGGTTCAAAGTAAGAGTTGTTTATAATCGAGCTGCTTCTTTCCTGATTAGGCAACGCTGTTTTTTAAATTGCCCTGTTATGTGCCCACACCAGTAAAATTTAGCAATCTTCATAGGGAAGAAATGATTTGCTAAGAATCTACAAAATTGGATATTTGTAACTGAGGTTAAAAATAAAAGAAAAGACACTTGAAACCTGAGTATCAATTTAACCCATTTAGACCGATAATTATTTTTGTAATTAAAAATTGAATTTTCAGCAAAAACTTACAAAGGGGAGCCTAAAAATCATGAAAAAAATATTTAAAAAAATATTCCATAAATAGGGGGCCGTGGGGAGCCCGTACCATATAGGGTACAGTAGGTCTATAAGCAAGCAAAACATAGACTTTTAAAGTGCCTCCCTAAGGATGGAGATGCTTGTCATAAATGTCACTAAATATGATCGAAACCCATCTGTTTTCATTTAACCCATTTAGACCGATAATTATTTTTGTAAATAAAAATTGATTTTTCAGCAAAAACTTACAAAGTGAAGCCTAAAAATCATGAAAAAAATATTCAAAAAAATATTCCATAAATAGGGGCCGTGGGGAGCCCGTACCATATAGGGTACAGTAGGTCTATAAGCAAGCAAAACATAGTTGTTGTTCAAAGAAGGTTTTTATTTATTTTTGTATGATATAAAATAAAAATAAAATCACATAATCACTAGTATCACACATGGCATATCTTGTAAGACGTTTTCTGTGATACTAACCACATTTGGTTCTTTTTTCCTACCTTCTCCGAAGTTAGTGAGGATAGCCGAAGAAGACCTGGCTTCTTCTGATTTGTTACGTTTAGTGCTATCCATAATCGCATTTAGCAACACGACGATGGAAATTTAGCAAATCCATCGAAGAAAACTCTGAGGGTAATTATTTAGATTAACACTATTTTTATCGCCTAAATCTTCGTCAGTCTGATCATCATTAGCGGTCATCTGACAAGATAGCAGTAGATAAATACCAACATTGCTTTATTTTTGCTGAAATTATCAAATTTTTCATGAGTTATGGCAATATTTATAGTGAAGCATCAATAGCCTAAAACAAATAAAAATAATAAAAAAAAATTTTTTTTCGCATGATGTGCTCATGCATAGACCTACTGTACCTTATACGGTACACCTATTTTAGACTGGAATAAACCCTATAAAAATAATGTCAATAATTTTTTTTTGTAGTCATGTTATCTATTGTACTCTATTTTTTTAAATAAAATGGATAAATAACATAATTTACCATGAATAATAAGAAATTATACCTTCTTAAATACATTGTAAATATTTTTTTTGTTTTCTGTCGAGGAATTTTATAAATATTTCCAAAACCACTTGTTGAAACATATTTTTAAATATTTTTATGTAAAATAATCACTTTAAGCTTACTGTCACAATCATTTTTACAAATTAACAACAGTTTGGTTCTTCGAAATATTTTCATAAAGGTACCGTACCACATAGGGTACGGTAGGGCTAAATGGGTAAGACTATGATTGGTGGACTTCAGCCATAGGACGCCTACGGCCTACGCCAAAATGATTTCTATAATGACCGCCGAGGTCGCCGGTCCACCTTGTGGGTAGACGCCATATGCTGCGCTTTCTTCTCCAATACCTACTTTAAATATTATTATGTTTATTAAATTTTTATAATATATAATTATTTCAGGCATGCTTTTCTCAACATTGCTGGCGGGCTTCCTCACAGACACCTTCGGGAGAAAAGTCTTCATCTACACAGGATTGGGAGGCTCCTGCTTTTTCATGATTGTTGCCGGAACTAGTCAATCCTATGAAGTTCTTATCACTTCCAAATTCCTAGAGGGTATTCTGTAAGTATATTTAAATTGTATCACATCAAAAGCCCGTTAGCATCATTTAAATAATTCGTATTCACGAAATAAAAAACTTCCTATGACCTTCAGAAGATCTTTGGCCCAGTTGCTGGATCTTTGGAGTTTCTTCTGGCCTTTAATAAGTTTTCCAATCTGTGATCACCACTCAAGAACTTTTCTGCCCCAACGGTCTTTAATAATTTTATTCTACGAGATGTCTTGGTCACAGCCACTTAAGTTTAGCAATTTTGCTGACTATGCGTTTTTCTTTTCCATAAACATAAACAACTAATATTACCTCCTTCACTATTCCAGATTTGCCACATCATTCAGTGCTATGATCACTCTGACGTCAGAGTTCTGCCACAACGGCATCCGTGATCGAGTCGTCATTTGCCAGTCATCATTCCAGTCAATGGCGCAGGTTCTCCTCGCGGTTATGTCATGGGGAATCCTGACCAACAACTGGAGGTATACCCTGTTTGATGGGAAACTTGGTGAGAATTATTTTAATGAAGAAGGCCCAATTATTTGTACCTGCTTGATCGAAACTCTTGCTTGGACTGGTCTTTTGACACAAAGTTAAGTCATGGAAAATCATGTAATTCGTATTTTTTTAGTCCTCAACACATGGAACTTCTACCTCTACCTCATGTCTCTGTGGTCTTTCACCGCCTGTATTTTGTACATATTCGTGCCTGAGAGCCCTAAGTACATGGTAACGCAAGGAAAATACGCAGAAACTAGAGAAATACTCACCAAGATATACAGGATGAACAATAGAAAAGCAGAAGATCAGTCTCCGGTGAGCTTAAAACATAGTTAGTAATTTTAACTATTTTAATTATACATTTTTTTCTAAAGTAGAAATTACTAATAGTCCCGTTACTTACCCCCTCGTAATAAAGCTAAAAATATTTTTTATGAGTCAGTTCATCACATAGCAATGCCGGGCATCGAATCCACGTTACTCAAACTGTCGAGTCGGCTTGTTCGACCTCTACACCATTCGACTATCGTGGTTTCTACCTTATTATAAATCACTGAATTATTGTTCATGAATAATAAAAATTTGTGCTTATTACTATAATATTTACTCCAGTAGAATTTGTTGAACCCACGTTAATAGTTCGGTACATGAACTACCGAGCCAGGCGTAAATAATTTTCTTTTGTAAAATAAACAGCTGTGGTTGTTTGAAGGCCAATAACATCTCAGGATTAACATATTCTACACATAATTAGTTTACTCAATGTAAATAAAGTTGTTAAAGCAAATAATCTAATACAAAAATGGATGTAAAGACATTTTCTAGGAATAAAAACAGAAAGCAAAATAATATAATGAAATAACATTTATTTCAGTTTAAAGACCTATTTAAAACGGAGCAAAAACTGGAAAAAGTTCAAGAAAACAAAAATAACGGATTCGCCCACCATATTGTGGTGGGCCTTCACAATGTGAAGCCTATGTTCCAAAAACCTTTACTATTTTATCTCATTCTGATATGCTCAATGAATTTTTGTATTATGAATCTGTAAGTACCCCTCCAATGTTTTATGTCTTAAGCTTCAGCCAAATCAAGGGGTTCAGTCTGCCTCTGATATAGCGTGTATAGTGGCGATCACTGCGCTTGCAAAAGTTGTTCACGCTGCCGTAAGCTGAACGCGTTGGTTCGGCTGAACCTTTAATTTAGCACCTGTCTTTAAAATAGAATAACAGTAGAAATCTGTCCTAAAACAATACACAATCACAACCGTGGTAGCATGCTTGATTCTTGACAGTCTTTTTCCAATGGCTTCGAACATACATACTTTAATTTTAAATTCCAGGTACAACGTAGTGAGGTTGTGGTTTCCCCAGGTGTCCACAATTGTCGAACACAACAGTTTTATCACAGAGAATGGGGACACTCAGAATCTATGCCAGATGTTGGATACTTATACACATAATCTCGTTGAAACAAGGAATGAGACGGCTGTGTGTATACCTGTAAGTGACTTGTAATATTATTATAATCATTACCTTTAATATGAAAGGCCTACAACACTATGGCAAATGACAGGCATAATAGTATAAATTAAAAAACAAGCATGATGGCAAGACGCTAAAAACTTATCGACTGTTATTTCTGTGTCTAACAGACTGACTCTCTTTCTCTCTGATTGGGGTCTCTGGGTGGTTTTGTGCCGAATGATTCTTAGTGCGTCATAAGGTAGCTTTTGGGTCACTTCGATAGCTCGAGTGGATCTGCAAAGTGCGCTTCATTGAGTTTAATCGTAGGCTGTTATTCTTTATACAGAAATTCATCATACAGTTAATTTTGTTCCAGAAAACCAGTGGTGCCGAGACCTATATCAACAGTATAATACTCGGATCCGTTTCCATTATACCCTACTTCCTATCAGGGATGCTAGTGACCAAAGTTGGAAAGAAACCGTTGATAATCATAGGCTCGTGTTTAACAGTGGGAATAACCTTGGGGATGAGATGGGCGACGTCTAAAGCTCTTGTTGTCTCACTCTTCGCTGCAGACTGTGCTTTGTCACAATCAATGATGAGCTTTAATCAAGCATTCATCATGGAATTCTTTCCGACGACTACGAGGTACGTAACTTTATGTATCTTCATCATCGTCATCATCATCCCCACTTTTCTAAATAAAGAACTAGCCTACACTCATTCTGCATACGAGTATAATAGAAAGGTCACTGATTGACTGACTCACTCATTACGAAATCTCAGAAACTACAAGTGCTAGGAGTCTTAAATTTTGCATGGGGGTTCCTTTTAGAACGTATGTGCTCACGACGGGATTTTGGAAAATTCAACTCCTAAAGGGGTAAAACGGGATCCACGCGTACGAAGTCACGGGCGGCTGCTAGTTTATAATAAATTTCAGAACTAATATTCTTAAATGATTATTTCTAAAGTGTATACTAATAAAATTTACATCATAAAATTATATTCTAGCAAAATGTTCATAGTAAAATATCAAGCAATAAGTTCTGAAAGATCATAAATAAATACACTTTTATTCAAGGATTTGTAAATGTGAGCTGAAAATAAATAAATTAAAAAAATCTCAAGGCAAAGTTGAAGTCCTATCAAAATAATGTAAGTACTTGAGTAAGCATGCTATTATGGAAATTTTAAATTAAATATCCCTTTATTCTTCAGGCTAAGTTTGACCTATCGCGTGCCTTGTTAGGGCATTGTTCAGATGTGGTGAAAATAAATCAGTATATTCATTTAAAATGTACAAAACTTACATTAAAAATGTTGACATTATTATATTTCGACGGCCGTCTGACTTCGTTTTTTCTGTTCTATGACCAACTGATGGATTGTGCTGCTGTTTTGAGGGTTCAAATTTTGCGCAGATAATTTTAGGGTAGTTTTGTGCCACGAGCAGTTGTGCCTCAAGTTATGGACTTAAAAGCTTTAAAATTAAATTATACCTCATATAACATATTTTTTGTTTTACCTGCACCTATTGTATGAAGTATGTTTATGTTTATTTATTAATATCTAGTGACCAGAGTACATACTCCAGTACAGTAGTACCGGTTGTATAGTTTGAGCCAAAATTTTAATTTTACCGTTCTATTTTGGCTGTCTCCGGTCAAAGGATAACGTGGATTTTAATTTCACCTTGCGGTGCAATGCAGGGTGCCTTATCAAAATCTAGATTTGGAGTTTCTTCTTTATTAACTTTAACTTAACGTCCAGCACTTACCTAAAGTTACTAAGTGAATAACAATGTTGAGAAACTTTTGCTTCTACTATTTTAAACGTGACCAAAATAGTAGTGTTATGATTTTAGAATTTATTAATATTGTATTTATACGATTATAAGTTGCTTATAAATAGTTATTGTAACAATTTTGGCAGTACTTAAAAACCCATTATTAAATTAAAATACTTTATTTGATTACTTCCTGGACATTGTTGGAGATATTAGAATGGTTTTAGAATTTATTCTGTATTATATTCCATTATTTCATGATTATTATTTAATGTAATTATTTTAGAATTTTATTGTATACAATTTAGTATTTTAGAAATAAAAAATCATCTAATTGTTATTTAAGTATTGATTTTGACTACTTCCGGGGCATGCTGTCGATAAGTCGTTTTGAGCCGGTTGACTTTGACACGGTAATAGGTACTATCTAAACAGTATTCCAACTCGGCCATATTTTTTAAATAAATGTCAACAGCCCCGCGGTACGTCACGGCATGACAACATGCGATAGGGCTGCTCACTTACAGTACCCACTCTAATTACATCTGTCCTATTTAGAATTTCTGTCTAGTTTTGTGATTGTATTTTTTTTTATTTAGACAAACAAAAAACTTTGTGAATGGAATAGGATAAAAATGCGTGTTATTTTGTGATTAGTAGATTTAATTAAAAAAATATGCTAAAATAATTTTGAATCTACTAATCATAAAATCGTTGGCAAAAGCTGGTTTTATACAAATGCAATTTTCATTTCAAATCAAACTGACTGAAAATGACCATTTCTGACAGTTAATGAGTTAGTTATTGACAAAGTTGACCATTTAAAACGGTCAGTCAAATTCAATCGCCTTAGTCATTTTCAACACTAGGCCATCGACGTCCGTTCGGTACATTCGCGACACCCCTAACTTTTGGATCTCGACCACGTCCCTAGATTTGAAATTCGAAGGAAAGCTCGCGTTTCGTCGGTTTATATGAAGTTACAATACTGTATGATATTATTACCGTGACTTTGACGAATGGAAGGGGAAGTTGCCTTATCGCTGGCATGCCGCCGGACAGCAGTTCGATTGGAGCATTCGAAGCAAGAAGTACTAACTTTAAGGTGTTATAATGTCGAAATTGTATAAATCAGTATCCTGAATAAATGCCTAAGTAATTAATATAGTAGGTACAGACGACGGCACGTCAAGCTGAATACTGAGTCATCTTCAACATCATCATCATCATCATTTCAGCCACAAGACGTCCACAGCTGAGTATAAGCCTCCCCCAATGATTTACACTTTTCCACCATTTTCCATTTATCCACCACTAGCAGCCGCCCGCGACTTCGTACGCGTGGATCCTATTTTACCCCCTTAGGGGTGGAGTTTCGTAAAATCCTTTCTTAGCGGATGCCTACGTCATAACATCTACCTGCATGCCAAATTTCAGCCCGATCCGTCCAGTGGTTTAGGCTGTGCGTTGATAGACCACTATGTCAGTCAGTCGGTCACCTTTGAGTTATACATAATTAGATTTGTTATTACATACTATACAATCTTGTAATGGTAATCTAGGTGCTAAGGTACTTGATACAAATAAGGCCTACCTAACTTTAAATGCTTATATTTCAATAAATATTAACGCCAATCAACAAAAACAAGGTTAATTAACTTCTTCCATCCTTTAATTTTAGCAATATTACAAAAAATAACTAAATTTTTAACTAAATCTATTCAAAATAAGCAAATTACGAAACCACTGCTTTTGGCTTTAATAAATCACCTACACGGAATAAGGCCTATATGATTCAAATGCCTCTAGACCTTAAAATTGAGGTTGTATTAAACAAAATTCGGTCTTAAAACATTAAACACGTCGATTTGTTTGCGTTTTCAAAATTTGACATACCAAGTAAACAGAAATATACTATAAATCTCTAGATAAACTTAAATTCCACTTATTAAGAATTATACATAAATATATATAGATAAAATTAAATATTCATAGTAACAAAGTAATGATTCCTTACATATATTATCAACAAAAAGATCAAAAACAAACAACATTATTTTTTTGTATAGGGCTTATTAAAACACCGTGTTCGAATAAGGCCTACACATAAAACCTCTTAAATAAATCAGTTTAGGAACATCATTTAGTCTTGAATTTTTGTAAATAAAATGAGGTCTCAATTTTTGTTAGAACCAGGGCATAAAAAGGCTTCTGAATCATCTTTACTAACTCCTACACAATCTTTGTGATACCACCAAAAGCAGTCTTTTATGGTCGCATATCTGCTACATTGTCTTCGAGACAGGCATGATAATACCAGTTTTTATTCTCCTTTCCTTTAGAATTATACATACGGCATGCATACATTTTTTTTACTGGATTTGTATTTTATTTCTTTTTTTTTTTACAGGTTTTGTAATTTTTTTCGACTCTGTTTTCTTTTACTTTTCTGTGCTGTTAGTGACAATCTTATTAAATAAATATTTAGTTACTCTTTGACTCATTTAGTTTAATGAATTTGTCCGTAATCAGGTGTTGACAGAAGTATCTAATATGGCCTACCATGCTGAAATAAGGCCCAGGCCTTATTAGATATCTCGCTCTTGTTGTCTTTAAATATTTACAAATAATGCATCTATAGCCAGTAGTAAAAATTAACGTAATTATCAGCTAGTAAGAAATATTTAGAAACGATTACTAAGAAAAGCTTAATCTAAAACAGCGTCATTTTACCGAAAATCTAAGATGAAATCGCCAGATTTTTATAAGAGAGCACGAAATCATCCACCACCTTAGAAGAACGCGTGCCAATTGGTGCTGGAATCGTGGATCGGGACGCTCTTGCGCTCTACCGGGTTGTAGGGCATATATGTAAGTACGTGTCCTTGAAGTATTATCCCGGTTGGATTTATTTATCTGTGTTTTCTGATGTATAGGCCTTATTAGAACATAGGCCTTATTTGTATCAAGTACCTTATTTTGCAACTAAAATCTAACAGCTTATATTTTTATTTGTTGTATAGAAGATGACAATGTATTAATATTTATTTCAGGACATTAGCGATCTCAATGATAATGATGATGGGGAGAATAGGCACTCTGGTGGGGAATATTGGATTCCCTGTATTACTGAAAATGGGCTGCGTCATACCTTTCTATAGCTTGGCTGGTGTCATGATATGTAAGTTATATGGAGTAGTCGTATTGGATATTAATCGTGAATAGTCCAACACATTGTCAGCCCAAAACTCCGCCACAAGAGTGGCGTTGTCAGCAGCACTCATCAAACCCTCCTGAGTGCAGTTGCTACTCAGGGCACGACGTCAGGTGCTTCATCGACTGGGGAACAAAACCGCACCTGCACTCCATGTTTAAGCCATCCAAGAATCCCCACCTGACCAGATTGTCCTTACTACAGCCAACCTGCGTCCGAAGTCTATTTAAAGACTTCCAAGAGTTTTGGGCTGACACTGGGTAGGTTTGTTGTCGACACGAAAAGAAGAAGAAGATAAATAAGTCCTTGAAATCCTTATTGTCGCAGCCATAGAAATGATTTTTGTAAACCTTACATTCTGTTTTCTAATGATGATGTCTAAATTTACAGGTGTGATCTTCATGGCTATATTCCTACCGACAAAGAAGAAGTAATTTAAGTTCTGAATTAAGTTGACTGTAATTTAATTTTTACTATTATAATTTATTGAAATCATCAAAGTTTTATTTTACTCCCAAAACCTATCCACTTGTGAATTACGATTTTTCTTACGCCTGTATTCACAAATATTACTATGAGGTGCGCGTGAACGCACAGGGTCATACACGAACCAATCACAGAGCTCTATTTAACGCTGTGCATGTGAATAACTGTATCACTTAATCCTACTATTTCTTCAAATCCAGAATGAAATAATAATTATTATCATAAGTCTATTTCAAACTTAAGCAATTCATTGCCAAGTTGAATCAAGCTAAAATGTCCTTACAAAACCGAACAAAAAGTGATAAAAATATGGATGTTTATTATTGATACACCTTGGCTTATACCCAACCCAAAGATTTCGAGTTGTGAAATTATCAACACCTACGCTAGACGCAGAAAAAATGTGGTTATTTGCATTTGAAACAATTTTAGAATAGTATTATCATAATATTATTAAACTATGTATGTAGTATTCTTTGTTTCAAAATGTAGTGTTGCATCAACGTCTAGTGGTAGGGCATCGAAAGCTGTTAGTTTAGTGTTTGGATTGGAATTCAGAAGTAAAAGTTTGATCGTGGTAATTATATCAAGCAGAATATAGGGTAAACCGTATAGCTATTGCCCACTTAAGATTTCAAACACATTGAGATGAAAAATTAAAGAAAGTATTTTAATTTATCGACCATTTATGACTTTTTTCTTATAACTCAATAAACTGATAAACAGAATATTAACAATTTTTAGTTAAAACTTACGTAACTTAGAAAATATTGAAATAAATTTAAAATCCTCCAAAATGTACAGTCATTGCCCATTACTTACACTAATTGCCCACATCAAAGCACAGTAATTGCCCAGTGTCTTAAAACAAAATAATCAATTTCAAAATGACAAAATAGGCTTTAAACAAACAAAACAAAACATTAAACTTAAATTCTAGTAGTAGTCTTCAAAATTTCAAAATAAATTGCGTTTGGCCTTATTAACTATTTAGTTATCAAATATTTCTTGAGCTAATGATAATGAGTCAGAATCGGTAGAGACAGAATCATCTACTTCAAAACATAGATGACGCAAAAATTTGAATTTTATATGTAAATTTTATATGTATTTATTTTTTTATCTTTTTTCATATCAGTTCAAGTGGTGCTCAGAATGTTCAATTAGCTGTTGGTTATTCTTCCCTAAAGTCGTATCTATTTCCTTAGAATTAACATTTTCACTAGTAGATTTAACGTAGGATTTTCATTTTTTGTATTTGCGTTTGAATTTTTATCAATTTTTTCAAGCCAAACCATATTTTTCAGCAATTTATCTTGTAGATAAATTGTTGGATACATCTTGTACAGCTTCGATCGCTTTTTGCAAATTTTCTATGCTATATTGAGCTTTTGGAGTCTTTGGCATACTGAAAATGAAACATTAAAAGCCAGTTCAATATTAATTATGCCTGTAAATTGCAAAACAAGTCTAGCAATGAGCAACTTAAACACTGCTACTGCATGGTGGCAACACTCTAATAATAATTGCCCTGGGCAATAACTATACATTAGCATATGGCAATAACTGAAATGATGGTGGGCAATAACTAAAAATATACAGATTTACGTGCAGTGATTACCCACCGTTAAAATGACCGTTAGAAATCAAATTTTATCAGTTATTTTTATTGATAATGGAGAAAACACTTATAATTTCATCATAACTATACACCATTCGTTGAATATTAAATAACTTGCAAAAAAAATTAACCTCTAAGCAAGTAATTCCTTAGTAAAATTGTTAGTCTTTACCTGTTTGGGTAACATTTTCACCCGTCTTGACAAAATCCGCCATAACTGCTTTTTTTTTTAGTGTTTCATATTGTAAATTTTAAATCTACTGTACATTGATCTCGGAGCCATCTAATTAGTAAATTCAAATCTAACTAAAGTGATTCAAAGTCAGCACCTGACAATATTATTCTTAAAGCGGGCAATCACTACCAGTGGGCAATCACTCTCTGGTTTACCCTAATATCTAGTTTATACAAAAGCATTGGTAAGTAAGGAAACTATAAATATAATTATTGTTAAGATAAATAAATAAGATGAAGGCCAAATAAAATAAAATGTTAGGTTCGAAATTCACATATTGTGGTTTTTTTCTATAAAATGAATTTATTGATATCTATGGCGCCTTTTCTGGCATTGCTGAAGTTTCTAGAAGATAGAGCATTCATTCAAGTATAAGCATTAAGACAAGAGATACGAGAGAGCAAAGCAGAAGAGATGTGTCCTGACGATGATCAAGTAATGTTAGGGTCCTAACGAATATTAGTAGAAATGAATGAAATAGCGGACTGTATAAAAATAGGTGCTGTATTCTCGCCAGCCTAATTTACAATTGATTATCTAGGATACGCGGTAATCGTGCGTCGACGGTGGTGTCCAAAGGCGAGTGTGTCAGTGTGTGAGCCGAGCGCAGCCGATGATGACGCTGTCGGCCCGAGGTGACGTTAGTCATCGTACGCCGCCCGCACGTCTCCTCCCGCGCGTTGTTGGCTTCCCAACAAGTAATTTTATTAATATTTACAGAATCAAAAAGAAGACAGAATGACAGAAGTAGAGAAAGCGCTCAAACAATGTGGGTTTGGACTATTCCACGTTCGCTTGCTGACCACCTCTTTTTTAGGGATGCTGAGTATAATATTCGTCAGCAGCACCACTGCCTTTCTGCTGCCTGATGCTGAATGCGATCTCAAGATGGATCTGGCTCAGAAAGGGCTCTTGACTGCTATTCCTTTTATTGGTAAGAACACTCGTACACAGGGTGGAATTTTGTAATGCCACCTGGAGGGAAAGTACTCTTAATATTGTAGATAGATTTTTTTCACAAAGAAAACATTTCTATATTTTTGAAAAGAAATAGAACTGCATTTTAAAATTTCCAAAAATTTGCTTGCCACACCCGGGGATCGAACCAACTAAAATCTGTTAAAAATTACACCCTGTGTTTTTATTACCTCGATCGTTAGGGTTAAGTACAAGGATGAAATCTCTCTAACAAACTTAATAAATCAAAATTAAATGAAAGGAAAACCATAAAATCTTAAATTATTTTAATTATGTACAGAAAATTGTATGGTATGGTAGTGAATTTTCGATTTTTTTTCGAAACTCTTTGAATGCAGTTCTCTTTCTTTTAAAAAATAAAGGAATGTTTTCTTTCAGTAAAATTTTCTATCTACAGTATTAAGAGTACTTTCCCTCCAGGTGGCATTACAAAATTCCACCCTGTATGCCTGTATTTTATAACCTACGACAGGGAAGTTCTCACCTGATGATATGTGATGATCGGGCAAAGCAAGCAATCCTCAAGCACAGGAGAAGTTCCTCCTAGGAGTAAACTCAGAACACTGATAGTCGAACTGAATAGCCACTGGTGGTGGAAAACATCTGACATTACTCGTAGCTTATCTGATTTTTTTAAAGAATACTCGTATCTTTTTTTTATTAATTACACGAATTAATTCCACCAGCCCCCTTCCATCATCAAGGAACCAGACGCAGGTTAGCGTACCATCCCTATATTGTTGACATTCCACCAGCTCGCACTAAGCGTTTCGATGACTTTTTTATAATGCGAACAGCTAGGGACTGAAATTCGTTACCTGCTGCTGTCTTTCCCGAAAACTATAATCCGGGCCTTTTCAAGGCGAGAGTGAATAGGCACTTACAGGGCAGATATGTACCATCCTAGACTGCATCCCACTTAACATCAGGTGCGATTGTGGTCAAATACCTGCCTTGTAATGCATAAAAAAAATAATCTGTAGGTAATTTGTATTGCACAAAATACTAATAGTCACGGTAGCCCTTCATAGTAAGTTATGCTTGTGGACCCACTAGTAGGGTCATCACAATGTCAAGCGGCGGCGGGGTTCGTTCAACGTTCCTCGTAAGTCAAATCGGCCTCTACGACCCCTTCACCGCTCGGCTATTGTAATTATGTGAAGTTGCAACACGATGACAAATGATGACGTCATTATTTTCAGGCATGGCCCTCACGTCAATATTCACTAGTTTCCTCTCAGATGCATTTGGGAGGAAGCAGTCTATCCTCACGGGACTTGGAGGGATGTTCATATTCACGTGTATATCAGCGTCCAGCCAGTCGTACGAGATGTTGCTGACTTCGAAATTCTTCGAAGGTGTTCTGTGAGTATTTCAGATTTTATTTCGTTGTCGTTTTTAGTAAATTTAGAGATAAACTTTGGGCCTTTTCAAGGTGAGAGTAAATAGACACTTAGAAAAAAAGAAAAGAAATAAAGAAAATAACTTTACTTTGGCAACAAACTCAGGCAACAAAAGACATACACAAAATGAACAAAGTTGCCAAAAAAGGTAACATCTTGACATTGTAACTGCCAAGACACTGATTTTCAGTGGGTGGTTTCACTTACAGGGCAGATGTATCATCCTAGACTGCAAGATGCTATTGCGGTCAAATAAGTACCTGCCTTGTTCTGCCTGAAAAAAACTGCATTTTTTAAAGTGCTTCACATATATTTTATTGTTTTTTGATTCAAATGGAGGATATTTTGACCTATACTCCCCACGCTGACCAGACGGGTTGGGGAGGACTGACGTTGCATTTGTCCCTTAGTCGTCATCGTCTCTTACGACATCCACTGAAAAAGGGGGTCCTATTCTACCATGCCAGAACCACACAATCTGTGTATTATTTATTTCAGATACTCAACATACTTATGTTCATCTATATCTCTGGTTTCGGAGTTTTGTCATAGCGGTATAAGAGACCAAGTGCTGCTATTCAACAACATGCAGTCAAGTTTGGGAATGGTCGTGCTATCTGCTATGTCGTGGGCCATTTTGTTAAACGAATGGAAATACACTTTCTTTGGAGGACGGTTTGGTAAGTTAAATTTTATTAAAGCTTCAGTTAGCTGTAAAAAGCTGGTATAGAGATAGTTTGGGATCCATGGAAAAATATACATTTTGAAGGGGGAACGGACATAACATAGAGCAGGTGTGGCCAACCGCGAACCGTGATCGCGAATACGAGTCCAGTCGATCGTGGCAAAGCAAAAAATACTACATCATTGTATGTAATGTAAGTGATAGATCGCCCAGGGTTTCGTTAGTAAACAGTAGATCTTATATCTAATCAAGTTGGCCACCCCTGATGTAGAGTCTTCCTGTAATAGAAAAAAATCACCCAGTTGCGCAGGCGAAACCACGAGCAAACTAAGCAAAGCTTGTACTGTGGCAACCAAAAAACTGGAGTAATAATAATTTAACTGTCTTTTCGCGGCGTGCACCTTGGACCTACAGTATTCTTATGGACAAGTTAGTGTTGGTTGTGTAATTACTTAAACTGTCTACATAAAGTTTAATTGTATACAACTGTTTGTTGTCCTTAATAAAATAAAATAATTTTAGACGATTTAATTTGTTTCAGTCCTCCACACATGGAACATTTATTTGTACGCCATGTCACTTTTCACACTGACGGCCTTTATAATGTTCATATTTGTGCCGGAGAGCCCTCATTATCTTATATCTCAAAACAAATACGCAGAGGTCAGAGACGTATTAACTAGAATCTACAGAGAGAACCATAGAAACAGTGGGGATAAGTTTCCAGTAAGTAAATAAAATAACCTGGCCTGGCCTGGATACGGGCAGCGAAGGACCGTTCATTATGGAAAACCTTGGGGGAGGCCTTTGTCCAACAGTGGACGTCATTTGGCTGAAACGACGACGTCGACGAAATAAATTAACGGACTGGATGCAGGCCGCTACCAATCGATCAAGATGGAAAGCATTGAGGGAGGCCTATGTTCAGAAGTGGACGTCCTGTGACTGAAATGATGATGATGATGATGAAATAAAATGATCCTATAAGTTTCATCATTTCGTCCAAAAAGGGCAAAGGTATTCCATGGATTTTCACAAAGACCTTGCGCTACACTCATCCATGTGCTTCCCGCGACCACTAGATCATCGGTCTACTAAGTGAGAGGTCTACCTTTAGGGTAGCGATTATGGAAAAACTCCATGATATGAGTCAGATTACCTCATAAAGGAAGCAGGAAGGCGCTGGATGTAGGCCGCTGTCAACAAGCCAATCTGAAAATCATCGAGGGAGGCTTATGTTCAGCAGTGGACGTCCTGTGGTTGAGTCTAATTTAGATTATCTTTTACTTGTTGTTGTAAAGGAGTGTATTACAACAGCAATATGAAAAATTAGCTTAGGTATGCTTTCATTTTTACGAAAACAGACAAAGCCTTTGTTGTCTTTGTTTCGTCAATACCATAGATTTAAACTATTAGCGCCCTCTAGCCTAAAGTATGTAATACTGTGTATATTTTAAATAAACAGTGTACCTACCATGAGTTTACGTTAGGTGTGCTCGCTAGCGACTGCGTAAAAAAATGACATTTAAATGTATGACATATTATGCAGCGCCCCTAGTGGCTACTTTCAAGAAATAAAATCTTCATAGAATTTTTTGACGTATTCGCTAGCGAGCTCACCTAACGTAAACTCATGGTAGGCACACAGTTAGTTCTTGTCTGTGACTCAAGCGTTTAATTTACTAGAGCCTTGCATTCACTTATAATTTAATCTTTACCCCTTTTCAGTTCAAAGATTTATGGAAAGATACAATAACGAATCAAGAAACGAAACTAAAGACACCAAATATATCATTTGCTAACAAACTGGTTGTTAGTCTTCACAAAGTGAAGCTTATATTTAAAAAGCCCCTTGTGTTTTACCTTATTACTATGATTGGAATCAACAGTGCGATGTTGATAATGTAAGTACATAACATACTTTTTATAGTACATTTTTGTTGCATACTCGACTTTATTACAATTGCATTTATGACTTCAGTGTAAAGCTCGACATGACGCCGTCTTTACCATTACCTTTTCTACATAATAACAAAGTTTTGTGAGGATGGATAGATATTCGCCCCTCTTTCACGCAAAAAATTGTGTGCACATAAATGAAACTTTATTAGAGGGTTATTAATTTATTAATAATAACATCAGAATAAGGACATATAATAGCCCAATGATGTCGGACGGGCGCAATAGTGATCCAAAGAAAGCGGGTTCGAACCTCTATTGGACTATTTGGTGAAACCACTCGTAACACAAGCATATTTAGTTTACCACGAGGGGTTATTACTTAAATAAAACATTAATTATTAATTAAATAAACATTTAGTACTTAAATAGCATTGTATCGTAAGTACTAAATTATTGTGTCATTCCTTTTTAGCTACGATGTTTTGAGACTTTGGTTGCCTCAAATATGGACTATAATTGAACATACCAGCTTTGAGACCGACGATGGACAAACTAGAGACATTTGTCAACTGTTGGACTGCTATAATAATAATATGACGATAACTGAGATTGATATTAAAAATACTACCACTGAATGTATTCCAGTAAGTAATCATAGAACCTATTACAAATAAATAAATGTTATAAAGTTAACTTTATTAAAGTTAATACTATCCTAATTTTAATGTAGCGCTGTTTGTTACATTCGATAGCTTATTGACACAATTTCCAAAATTATATTTGAAAATAAACTGGTATTTCGTTAAAAGAAAATCATATTTTAGGAACACGTAAACTCTCTCAATGACTGATTAAAAATCCCAAATTGAATGACTATATACCTACTAAACACACTAATAAAGACATACTGCTAATTAAAATTGCCATTAAAAACAATGTAGGTACAAAAATTACCGTTCATCCGAAGCTGAGCGTGATTTTTACGAAATATGGCCTGTATAAAAATTACAGACAACAATTTAACAAAAATCTTATATTTTTCCTAAATAAATAAAACCCATTGAAGCCTCAAACTCATTTGTTTCAGAACAAAAGTGGATACCAGACGTATTTACTAAATATGATGGTGAATGGGGCGTCCTGCATATCATTAATTTTGTCCAGTATACTGGTCAAAAGATTGGGCAAGAAGATATTGATAATCACAGCGTCAGTGCTAGCTTTTGTCACCCTTATAGTTTTGAGATGGGCCAGTTCCAAAATTGCAGTAATAGTACTGCTTACTACAGTCATTTCGGTGTCCAGTGCACTGGTAAATTTAAACAGGATCATGGTGGTTGAATATTTTCCAACATCATCAAGGTATGTAGGACTATTTGACTAACAGCACTCACTGCATGAACAGCTTGAGCAGTTAGCCAATGATAAACAAAAGTACACGGATCGCTCTTACAGTCATAGTCCATTGAAAAGACAATGCCGGAAATTGGCGTCTTTTTTTTTTCACGCGGCCATCGACCAAACTTTGTTTTTTGATTACAAAATAGTGTAACAAACCAAATTTACTATGACATGTATACCTCTAAACTCAGTCTGAACTGAGTTACGAGCATTACAAGTTTGATGATTTTCATACTAGATTTGCTTTTTGCGCGCAAAGTTTTGTAAGAAATTGCAACAAAATAGTGAGATTGTATGTATAAACAAACAATACCATCCATTAAAGGCTCCAGACATCAGTATGGAGCAGAATCAGCGCAATAAAAAAATAGCGCAATATTTTGTTGCAAGTTCTTACAAAACTTGCGCACAAAAAGCAAATCTAGTATGAAAATCATCAAACTTCTAATGCTCGTAACTCAGTTCAGACTGAGTTTAGAGGTATACATGTCATAGTAAGTTTGGTTTATTACACTATTTTGTAATCAAAAAACAAAGTTTGGTCGATGGCCGCGCGAAAAAAAAAAGACGCCACTTTCCATACAAAATCTGGCATTGCCATTTCACCATGCTGCCAACCTCCAGTAGCAGTCACAACTACTCGAGCGGTTCCATGTTATGTTACTCAGAAAGTAAAGAAATTAAAATAGCTGTAATTTTTAATAGTAGGTATAAAATGTTTTATTCCGGTGGATTTGTCGATAAAATTGATCATATTACTGCGCCCTAACGGGTCGGACACTGGTGACCGGATACACTGTATATTTACGGTTATCTATATACCTATATTATATACTTTTTGTTGGAAAACTCGTTGTTTTGAAATAGAATTTTCTTCAAAAAGACGTTCAAACTTTTCCAGAACCTTGGCAGTGGCTACAATGATGATTTTTGGTCGAATGGGTACATTGTCAGGCAATATTGGGTTCCCTATATTGCTTAAAATTGACAGTACTTTACCATTTTACGTAATGGACGCCGTTATGTTTGGTAAGTACCTACCTAATACAATATTCAACTTAAGTACGTTACGAAAATTAGAATTGTTAACTAAAAAAGATCTGTTTTGATTAAATTAAGCTTCAAAATACCAACTTAATACAATTTTACTTTACGGTGATTGATTATTATATTATGATTACGGTGAAGGTTTCAGAGTCTAGATTCGAGGTACGCGGGTTCGATCCCCGCCTGACTGTTGTGGTTAACCCGCTCGTGACACAATAATATTTTTATAATACCATAAGATGTTAACGGGGTTATTAATATTCTTTAAAATTCGTAACTAAAATCATCACATAATATGTACTTTATTAAACACGAACGTACAAGTAAATAAAGTTATAAAGTACTCCGCAAATAGTCTTTTAAAAAGCGCTTTTGCAAAAGCACAACGTTCGAAGGTTCACAAATATCCAGCTTTACTTCTAGTGGACGCTGACGTGTAGTCGAACAACTATACAAAAGAAAAAGAGCAAATAAACTAGCGCCACCAGTGTGCCTACCATGAGTTTACGTTAGGTGAGCTCGCTAGCGAATATGTCAAAAAATTCTATGAAGATTTTATTTCTTGAAAGTAGCCACTCGGGGCGCTGCACAATATGTCATACCTACATTTAAATGTCATTTTTTTACGCAGTCGCTAGCGAGCACACCTAACGTAAACTCATGGTAGGCACACTGATGCAAAACTGTTCGATATCACTCGAGATAGCGATTGCTCGATTTTTTTTATAAAACTTTTAATGTAGGGTTGATAATACTTCAAATTATACTGCAAGCTGCTAGTTGAAGATTAATTTTCATTGCAAAATAGCATCTAACATAAGTTTATAAGATGTCACGGTGTTTACTTTGAATCATGATCTTAACTTGTATTTCTACTTGCATGAATATTTGGAAACCTTTAAAATATCGTGTAATGAAATAACACTTTTAACTGGAGGCATGTTTTATTTTTTATTATATACTAGCTTATAAAACTTTATCGCGCGCATCCCTGTTTCAAAAACCGGGATAGAAACTATCCTATGTCCTTTCCCCCCGGGACTCAAACTATGCCAAATTTCATCAAAATCGGTTTAGTGGTTTAGGCGTGAAAGCAAGACAGACAGACAGACAGAGTTACTTTCGCATTTATAATATCAGTATAGATTTTTCATTCCTATTACAATTTTGTCCATCAATTGAGAAGTGCATCGATATTTGAACTGACTATAGTTATCGATGTACCGATTGACTAAAGTTCAAAACCAACACTAGTTCTCGTTCAGTCCGACGCAAAACGTGAAAATAATAACGTTTTCCGCGGAAAAACTGCAGTTCCCACGGCTTTTTCGTTCAACCTTTTACGCGTACTCCCCGAAATGCGTTCCATTCAGTGCACAATGGAGATGAAATGAGTAGCTCACTTGTTATCTACAGCTATATTCATACATGGAATGGAGGCCGCGTACCGGAAAATGCAGCGTGGGACGTCCACCCACAAGGTGGACCGACGACCTGATAAAGGTAGCAGGAAGGCGCTGGATGCAGGCCGCTACCAACCGTGCGATGTAGAAGTCATTGGGGGAGGCCTATGTTCAGCAGTGGACGTCCTGTGGCTGAAAATAGATGATGATATTCATACAAGTCATAGTACAAGTAATGATGCGTACCTTTATTATAGTGAGGCTATTTTACTAGGTACATGAAAAACATCTACAAGTTACAACAAGATAAGCTTTAAGTTTTTACCTTCAAAATTGATACAACCTTACAGCGTCTATTTTAGTACAAATATTTAGTAAAAAGTTTTCTAAGTAACAATAATCAAAAAACAGCTATTCTTCCTAAAATATAATGTTGATTTTTTTGTGTCTGATTTCTGAATTTATCACTGAAATAGCCGAACTGATTTTGGCGGAACTTTCACTGAAAGACAGCTGATTGAATTAATTGAAATAGGTTTTAACGCGATTAATTCAATTATGCAACGCGAAAGTTTAAAATCAACTATTGCAAACAGATAGCTGATGTCATAAAGAGTAGCATCAATTCTGCAGGCTATGTCAGTCACTCTGGTTCTCCTACGGATCTCCTCATTTCTGATTCGATCACGCAGGGAAACTCCGAGCATAGCACGCTCCTCGCCCTAAGCATAGCATCAATTCGGTTTTTTTACGCAAAAAAGTAAACAAGCAACGTGTCAGACCTAGGACACCCTAGGAATACTTTCCAACTCAAAAGTCGACGATTCGGGTTTGGTGTTTATACAGCATTAGCTTTAAATATTCAAGAAAACAGAACTCACTGCATCCACTCATAGTATGCTCACCCCCACTTCCAGTTAGGAACTGTTTCGTCCATTAAAGATATTGGCTGGTCGATCAAAAAAAGGTTGACAGTCCCTGATTTATTGTCCTCGCTTACGACGCCTCCTAATGTTTTTTACAAAGTAGGATTGATCTTCGGGATATTCTCCAATGAATATAGTGGTAATACTACAAATTCATACATGCCCAATGGTGTATCTTTAAGCTAGGATTAAGCTTTTTTTTTCTTTTTTTTTACCACAATCGCACCTGATGTTAAGTGGGATGCAGTCTAGGATGGTACATAAATTTGCCATGCAAGTGCCTATTCACTCTCGCCTTGAAAATACCCGGATTATAGTCTTCGGGAAAGACAGCAGCAGGCTGTAGCTGCAGCTATAGTTTAGGCTACTACTTTTTTTAAAATTTCTCAATGCTGTGCGGTTTGCTTATTTTACTAGGGTCAAGTAAAGATATTTCATTTTAATAAAATGCAAATAACCATGATATTAGATAAAGTATTAATGAATTGATATCCCCCCGCTAACCTTGAGTTTCAGTAAGATATGACAGACAATTCACGAAAACTTCTTGAGAGAATATTAAGTAATTCACGTTGCACTCTTTTCTTTGCCTTTCTTATACCCGTATTCATAAACGATGCTTGCTTAAGTGAAACAGCAAATCGAACGCACAGCGTTGATTATAGCTCCTGTGGTTCGTGTGTGACCCTGTTCGTCCACGCGCCCTGTGAGACCTCATAGTAATGTTTGTGAATACGGGCGTTATGCACTTTTATGACACTTCATGGTTGGATAAATCTACCATTAATAGGTACACTTACGTACACCCAAAAATGCTCAATAAGACACTTCATACCTGACAGGATCCCTATTATATTAACCTAGGATTTTTAGCTATTTTCAAATATATTACCCGGGCAACATGAAAAGCATTGGGGGAGGCCTATGTTCAGCAGTGGACGTCCTATGGCTGAGATGATGATGATGATGATGACTAGTCATTATGTATTGTTGTAATTTTAATTGTATACACTAATGGCTACTCTTCCAAGTTTGCGGACTATCTGTAATTTTACACTCTCGTCAGAGTATCAAGTTTAAGTTAAGATTTAAAAGCTAAACTAACCTAGATAGGAGAATAATTTCAAAGTAGGTTATACCTAAGCATGTATACCGGTTTTTGACAGAAAAAAATTTCACGCGGGCGAAACCACAGACGGAAAGCTAGTTCTTACTAAGTTCTTAAAAGAGGCTCTTAATATTTCTTAATGTACATCAAATTCAACAGATTTAATTAAAAAGCCATGATCAAAAGTAATGCAAACATTAACGATGTCATAATTTGTCTAAATTATCATTTTCAGGTGTCATTATGCTGTCGTTACTTCTGCCGTCGACGAAGAAATGATTCGCAAATTGTCTTAATTATATCTTATTAAAGCCTACTTAAGTGTTTGATTTGTATTAAATGTTACTTATGAACATTTCTAAGCGATTTAGCGAGATGCAGCAAGCATTATTCGCTTCTTTGCCTCGCTGACACGTAGAATTATTTTAGAACAGTTAAGGTAAACGGCTACTAGTTCGTGATAGTACGTAAGTTCGTAAGTTTTTTTTCTAGCTCAAATAATAAGCAAATGGAATATTATTTATAAAAATTCTTTATTACTATAAAAAACTCTATTATTTAAGCTATCTAAAAAACCAAGTACCAACATTGTGGCGCCAAAAATGAGAGCAATACGAAGCTTCAAACTCTCAGAGAGCCAAAAACAGCCGTGCGGCGTGAAAATGTTGCTCTCACCGTAAGGTTAGCGCTCCAACTTCTTAAGCTTATAAAAAGGCGAAGAAACGTCCATTTGCATAAAACTTGTAATAGTGGTTTCATGTGTTCCTTGACAATTGATTTGGCTTAGAAAAAAGTTATATGAAAACGTAGAATTCCTTTAAAATTGCGATTAATTGAGTCACGAAATAGCGTACATATTATTTTTCGGGTGTCCCCTGTTTCGTGATACTACCGAATCAAGGATATTATGGATAATATTTTGATGCTTGGTTTTTAAATAATTATTTATGATAATTGAAATGTAAGTTATGAAACAAATAATGCATTTATTTAAGTTTCTCATGACCTAAATTCGGTATATGTTTCGTTCACTAGAATTTATATGACACGAGTTTGAAGTTCACATATATGACCAATTTTAAGATAAATTAGCATAAGTAGTACCAGCATAATTTTGGTTTTATTTCGATTTGTTTTATTTATCTTTGTTTATTTGTATTGTATATGGGATAGATAATAGTTAATTGACACATTTTGATAATAATCCATGAATTTTACTTGGGGAATGTGGAATAATCAGTATCACGAAACAAGGTACCGTATTATTGTTACTTTTTTCCCCCCCCTCCTCTACATTTCTAATGGGAATATAAGTATTTTCACTTATTGTTAGAAATAACAAATCAAAATTGTATTATACTAGACTCACATTATTTCTTATGAATATTTCAGGTAAGTGATATCGACAATTTCACATAATTATTTTATTCTAAATTTTTATTATCGTTTTTAAATTTATTAAACCCTTAATCATTATTAAAATATCCTAACTGGATGCATAAAACCTTATCCCGAAATAGGGGACATGAGTTCACGAACTTAGAAACAGAGCAAAATTTTGTCACGAAACAGGATCCAAACTAGAGGTCCGCAGAATAATTAATATAAAAAAAAGTTCAAACTATATAACTATAAATTGTGTATAATAACTTACTGTCAAAAGACCAAAGTTTAGCATACAAAAGCTTTCATACTGATATCATGCTTGGTTATTTTTAAATAAAATGTTAAAGTCGTAAGAGCCTTAATATACCGAAGTAGGGGGCACTTACCTTATATCAGTTAATTTTTGTTTATCAATAATGAGTATAAGTACTTCATAAATCACACTAATGTAATAAAAAATAAAGATTTTGTATGTTACATCATCATCATTTCAGCCACAGGACGTCCACTGCTGAAGCATAGGCCTCCCCCAATGACTTTCGTATCGCATGGTTGGTAGCGGCCTGCATCCAGCGCCTGCCTGCTACCTTTATCAGGTCGTCTGTACACCTTGTATTTATGAGACTACGGGACACACATGTATACGAACATTGTGATGCCTTTTCCCCGGAGTGAGTAATAGCAGGCCTGTTCGTCTCCGCGAGTTTACATCGAAAACAAAACACGCACGATGGCTCCCTACAGGATTACTATTCGACAAGGCCTCACATACGAGCGAACATTGACTCACGCACGCGTATTCTTGTGTATGATGGAAAAAATAAAGAAAATGGTGTACTAAAAATACTGTGCAGTATTTAACTGACTAAATAATAATAAAAACACAGAATGTACTTTTTTAAGTTGCCTGAAGAAACGGAGAGGTAAATAAGTAGATAATATTATTCATGATAATTCATGCTAAATCATGTATTTCCTCCGCCATTTTCTGCAGTTTGGCACCTCACGTCACATCATTTTACCGAAATCAGCCCTATAGCTTCGGCGCAGTACCGATCACTGACGTTTGTCAACAAAATGGTGCTTGACTCTTGAGACAAGCTAAATTACACCATATTTTTAATGACATTGAGCATACATTTTTTTAAATACCTTCGCGAAGTAAAACTTCTGTACGTAGTACTTATTATTATTCCGTGGTAATAGTTACACATGCTAATTAGTAGCACGAAAGCATGCCACAATGCATAAAAGTCCCTGGTAAATTAGAAAAATCTCGCTCCTGGAGACAAATTAATGACTCGATGACGATGATGAACTTTTCAACTTCAATCACAGACTTGAATCAAGTTTGAATCAAATTTTACAGCCTTTCCTTAACAGGCAGACCCTTTATTATCTCTTAAGACAAACAAACGAGCTATTATCATTGTCACTGTAAAATATCTCACCGGAATCAACAGTTTATCTCGAAACGTGTGACAACAAGCCTTGTGTGATTATAATGTGAATATTTAGTTAATTTCCTACTGTGTACAAGTACCTACTATGTGTGATGCAAGTTCAATCGAGTTTACAGGTAAGTAGGCTGTTTTGGAATTTAAACGCATTTTTTATTACTTTTTGAACACAAACTGCTTCAATTTTAGTTACAAATGTACAACATAATAAGATTAATTTAATTTATGAAGTCTCGTTCTGGCAGGATAGAATAGGATAGTCGTGGGGGCTATCCTAATTCTACCCTGCCGGGCTCTTTCCGTGGATATCGTAAGAGGTGACATAGCAAGTATACGAATATTAGGTCTTAGCAATCGTATGGCCAGCGTGGGGAGTGTAGGCCAGAGCCTCGATCTTAACGTGGAGAATTGGAGACTTAATGACGTGACGATTGCAACATCGAGCTATAACATTTAACAGTTTTTTATTATCAGTTTTCATTTATCTACAAGATTTGGTATTGTAAGTAATTAACAATGCAGTTTTCTCGAATGCTGGAAAGTTTCTGACTGGAGAAGTTTCATCATTTTTAACAATTAAATTATTATTTTTGAAATATTGATCTTTAATTAAATTTATTTAAGGTTTGTGTGCCAAAAAAATCCATCTTTATTTCTTTCCAAACATTTTTTTAGCAAAATGCGCTCCAGAAACAAAGCAGCTACGTCCAGTAGAGGAACTGGACCAAGCTCTAAAAGAATGCAAGTTCGGAAAGTTCCACCTGAGGCTTCTCCTCACGTCTCTCGTCAGGAACATTGCTGGGAACTTGGTCCATACCAGCACACCCTTCTTACTGACCAGTGCGGAATGCGACCTGAACATGGACTTGGTGGATAAAGGACTACTTAATGCTATGCCTTACGTTGGTGAGTATAAAAAACCTATTTTCTTTCACTATAATCATATTATTATGTTCTTTCTTTTTATTATCATCATCATCATCGTTTCAGCTACAAGATGTCCACCGGGTGCCAATAGGGCTTCACTAATAGTAGCCTCATTGGTATTTTTTAAACTTGAACAAATTGTTTTGAAATTCATCTCTTTAATGCAAATTGCTAGACATGACAAATATGTAATTAGTGTATTTTTATGTGAAAATATTTCCTTGCATTAACAATAAATGAACAAAACAGTGATTAATGAGTAGAATGGAGTGGAGGCCACGTGCTAGCTTGGGGTCATTGGACAAAATTCTACGTGCTCACGGACCAGGCTTTAGATATATCATTTTATATTTTACTTTTTATTCAATCCAGGAATGGCAATCTCGGCAGTGGGAGCAGGATTTCTAACCGACACATTTGGGAGAAAAAAATTCATCCTTTGCGGTTACTTTGGGATATTCGTTATGATGTCTATAGCTGGATGCAGTCAAACATATTCCATGTTGGTCATCGCAAAATTTTTTGAAGGATTTTTGTAAGTGCGTTTTTTTGTTACTTTTTTTTTCTCTACAGTCATGTACGTGCAGCGTAATTTTTGAGTGTCAGAGTATAATTTTTGTAGAAAAGTAGCTCCTATTATAGCTAAATAGTGCCAAAATGTGTATTTAAATATGCTGTTTGTGTCATATGTACATGATGGCAACACTGAAATGTCAGAAGAAAAATACAGTAGTTATAGACAGCGCTTGAGTTTAATTTAATTACTTTATTTACCTAACAATTAGTATTAATAGTACACCGATCATTAAAATACAAAACACTGTTGTCTGTTTAAGAGCAATTTATTGAGAATTGTGTGATGACATATTGGATATAAAATATTTTAGTTTATTTATGTGTAATTCTACCTTAAAATAGATTGTGCATTCGTTGTTCTTACCTGAAAAAGAAAAACATATCGATTAATCGCATTGTTTTCACAACATTTTCATAATTAAATAAACATTCAAAATAACTCGTGTATTCTGGATACATTGCAAATGTTATAAAATGCTCTAATTTATTAATGTCAAATAATTATAAGACCTGAACTACTATTTTAAGATTTTAATCTCGCTTTATGTAAATGGGCCGACTATGCCGTAGATAAGATAAGAACCGAGGAAGATAGGCTTATATTTGCTACAATGAATCAAAGGAAATTCTTGAAACACTTTATAAGTAGTAGTTAGTTATTTAGGTACACTAACAACACACCAAGAATAATAAAACAACTATGAATATTACTAAAGTAACCTTAGGATAGTATAGGCTGACAACTTTTGCCAATAAGTACATATTTAGCATTTAATACTCGCACGGTACTTTCTTTCGTTCGTTCATTTCAGCCAAATGACATCCACTGATCATCAATGATTTCTTCAACGACCGGTTTTGCGCTGCCCACTTCCAGGTATTTATTTATTTATTTATTTATTTAGAAACTCAACAGCTGTTTTACAATATTCATGTTAGTTTGATGAGCATTAAATCTAAGCCAATTAAAGAGTTTCCTAGCTGTTTAAATTAGTTCGTACATTATTACATTTTATCAGGTAATGAGTACCAATAAGCGCTGCATCCTCAACTATGCTTAAAAATAATAATCATGATTGAACATGCAGCGCTCAGGTTATACAATCTTAGTGTATGTATTTCCTATTATACCTACATATGTATTTCAGATCGTCGGTCTACCTAGTGAGAGCCTGGATGCGGGAAGCGCAGGACCGTTCATTGTGGAAAACCATGTTGGAGGCCTTTGTCCAGCAGTGAACGTCATTTGGCTGAAACTAATGAAATACAGTACACAGCAATTTAAGTTTTTATTTGCTGCTTTGTTTTTCAGATTCGGAATAGCTCACACCGCATCGGTGACTCTCATGTCAGAGTTCTGTCACCAAGGCATTCGGGACCAGATCATGCTGTGTCAGTTCTCTTTCGTCTCGCTCGCACAGGTGTCAATCGCCCTTATGTCGTGGGGGGTGCTTACGCAGGAGTGGCGGTATACGATATTCAATGGATACTTAGGTAGTTTTCTATCTATACAAAATTATCAAGCTGAAGAGTCTCTTTGTTTGGTTGAACGTGCAAATCTCAGAAACTATTGGTTTGATTAAAAAAAATGTATTGGATATCTCATTTATCAAGGATAGCTATATGCTATGTACCACTATGCTACGACCAATAGGAGTGGAGTATCAACGAAAATTGATCCAATAACGGGAAAAATATTCAAACGTTTTTCACTCGTACGAAGTCGCAGGCATAGCTTGTACCTTATAGATCTCAAATCGGATTATGGGACTGTTTGTAAATGAGGGGTCAAGTTAAATCTCAGGGTGTACACTGTACGTATTTTAATCAATTGAAAAATATTATTCCTCTGGAATTATTGAATAACATCGATGTCTACCTTCGAAATTAAATATTAACTTTATTTACAATAAACAGATTTTTTTTTAAACTAAGGCAAACTTAATGTCTACCTCAGTTTGTTAATATCATAAAACAGTAAAAACTAATAACAATTTAATTACTTTTTTCTGAAAACTTAAAACTCAACTCATTTGTTTTCGGTTTATCGTTAACTAGCTGACCCGGCGAACTTTGTTCCGCCTTAATGGCAATAAATAAGCAGACTTTATTTTTAATTTCGAACGGGATAAAAAGTATCCTATGTCCTTCTCCTGGCTCTAAACTACCTCCCTGACAATTTTCAGCTAAATCGGTTCAGCCGTTCTTGAGTTATAAGTGGAGTAACTAACACGACTTTCTTTTATATGTATAGATTTAATTATGAAGTCTAGGACACAAGACACAATCAGCTTCAAAGCAAGAATTTCAACCATGTTTATAATGTTGTTTGTTATTTCAGCGTTCAATACCTGGAACTTTTACCTAATAATAATGGCGCAATGGAGCTTCCTTGCTTGGCTTCTTCAGCTATTTATACCGGAAAGCCCGAAGTATTTACTCACACAACACAAATACGAGGAGGCTCGTGAAATTTTGATAACCATTTACAAAGAAAACACTGGGAAATCGGCGGAAACGTTTCAGGTACATTTGTTTATATTTAAAATTCATGGAAGCTACAAAAAGGTTTAATAAAGATGCGTAAATGGCGAAGGTGACTATGGACCGGAAGACTTACGCCCGTATTCACAAACGTTACTATGAGGCCCACAGTGCGCGTAGCCGCACAGCGTGACCCACGAACCAATCACAGAGCTCTACGTTCTTCTTCTTCCTTCAACGCTGTGCGTTCGATTTGCTGCTTCAGGTAAGTAAGCATCCGAGTGTTAATGTGGCAGGAAGTACCTGGATGTGGGCAGCGTAGGACCGGTTGTTAAGAAAATCCTTGGGGAAGACCTTTGTTCAGCTGTTACCGTCATTTGGAAGAACGAACGGACTGTGTTTGTAGTTACTTACAGCAATAACAATCTTTAGTAGCAATAAAGAACAGTTTAAAATTATGAATGCATACTTCACAGTAATGGTTCTATGAAAAAGTATTACGTTTAACGAAACGGATGTTATTAAAATGCATTTAAAACGAAACACTTATTTCTTTAGCTTTAATGAAATATTATACATGCTAAGGTGTTAGCCTAGGCGCAGACCATCGACTTTTAGTTGACCGATAGTTGGGCCCGATTCTAATTTGTATGAAGAATCGGCCGATTCAATGTACACTTACATTACTTACACTTATGTAAGTGTACATTGTGTGGAGATGTCTCCATACTGATTAAAAGCCCGACTAAACTATTGGCCAACTAAAAGTCGGTGGCCTGCGCTTAGGCTTAGGATGATGTCATATAAGTTTTAAACGCTATGAATATCTAATTTCAGTACGTCAATTTATGGAAAAACATGAAAAGAACAGAAGACGAGCCAAAACAACCAGTCTCAGGATTTAGTCACCATCTGGTGATGGGACTTCGAAACGTTAAGCTGAAATTTACGAAGCCCTTGGCCCTAAGGCTGACCCAGCTGTGTATGGCAAATGTGATGATTTTATCATTGTAAGTTATTATTTTACAAAGAAAAATAACCGTCAAACTCCGTAATTATGATTTAGTTAGCCCATGCGCAGACTAACGACTGTTAGTTGGCAGATAGTTGGACCCGATTCTAATTTGGATGAAGAATCGGCCGATACCGAATCGGTGTAATGTGCGCACTTTCATACATGTCTATACTGATTAACAGCCCGACCCAACTATCGGCCAACTAAAAGACGGTGGTCTGCGCCTAGGTTTAAGCTGATTTGTTTTTTTTTTCATGCAGAACAAGGCAGGTATTTGACCGCGACCGCATTAATGTGTACTTATACTAACTTTTTATCATGGTTTTGCTCGCGTGAATTATCGTGTGGGTATATATTGTACAAAAATCAGAATTTAAATTATACTATGTCTTTCTCGAGTCTAAAACTGAACTCTCAATACCAAATTTTATCTAGCTGGATTTGTGTCGTGAAAAAGCAAAACTCAGAAAGTGTTACAATCGCGCTTATAAATCACCTTTTCTCTTCCATTTCCAATAAAACTTCTATGTAGATATCGGGTTATTATAATACGTATATTCTCACAAACGGACTGTCAGCTGTTCCTACAAATTGATTAAACTCTGCCGAGGCTTATTTCCCTCAGGAACTTGCTCAAGAACTTCCCAGTTGAGAAATACAGGGCTGTCTTGACAGGAACGTTGTGACGTAATTCAAGGGAAATTTTACATTATGGGTCTAAATAGCCCGATTTATTTGACAGCGGGGTAAATAAGACAGGATGAGTTAAACTAGGCTATAGAACTAGTTTTTAGGAATTAGACGTTTTGGACACGTACCGTACAACGCTAGATAACGCGGGTTCCATACAAACAATACGAGTTTTAGGGTTCCGTACTAGAGGTCACTACGATAGACGACACGGGTTCAATCCCTGGACAGTAAAAAAAGTACAGGTACTTATAAACGTAACTGTTTAGGACTAATTCATTCCTTTACAAAAAAATGTGTTACAAACTTTGCTTTGTAAGGGACAGGGCAATTTAATGCATTTTCTGCTGCCAATAAGGTGTGGCATCGAGTAAAACAACAAATAATATTAATAATTTGATTATTTTACTTATTCCAGATACAATGTCCTCCGACTCTGGTTTCCCCAAATCTCGACAATCGTTGAACACTACTCAGACAAAGGGGCAGACCTGTGCGTCATGCTTGACTCGTATACTGAGGACCTGAAGACCAGGGCTGCCAACACAAATGGGTCTGACGTGTGCATACCGGTTAGTAAGATTATACCTAATAGCCTATACCACAGAATACATAATAGTAGCAACAGAAATTGCACTCCTTTGTGTAGGATCAGATGCCGACATTTTAACGGTAATAATAATAATGCAAAATATCCAACGCACATGGTGCATTCGAAATCGCACCTTACTACTATACTCACAAGAGCGCTTTTTTTGTGTTTAGAATTGATCTACGTCACCGCTCAAGCGTCAGGGTTGTATGAGCAAAGTAAAATAAATAAAAACTTAATTTTAAGAAACATTTATCTGGGGGCACGGCAGTGCCCCCGCCAAGTCGAGCGCGAAGCAAACACTGCCGTACCATCCTTTACTGGAACCATTTCGCCGCATTTTCAGGCCCCTATTTGAGAACCTCTGGATAAGACCAGAACGCAGAAATTTTCGTCATCTAGTAAGCTATAATCACATACTTTAAATCCAAAATTTCAAGTCTGTAGGTCATTTAGTTCCGAAGTTAAGCGAAAGCAAAGTTTCGCATTTACGACACTCACTCACTGATGATCATCAAAATAGAACTAGTACTTCCCATTAACTCAGAGGGCTGAAATTTGGTACAGAGTTAGGGTTTAATGGCCACATAAAGGGAAAACTATAAAAACTAGGAAAATCGAAGATCTGGAGTANGTACTATGGGTACTAGACAACGGATATAAACATAATTAAATACTTTTTTTTGTAAATACATACTTATTATACATAGAAAACACCCAGTCCAATACAAACAAATATGTTCATGCACACAAATGTTTGTACTGTTCGGGAATCGAACCCGCTACCTAGTACTAGGAATAGTAGTCCGTTTCGAACCACTACACCAAACGGCCGACAATATAAACCTAGCATTTAAATTCTCGCATAATATTGTATTTAATGCACGTTGAAATTTCTTCTCTCACTCTCTCTCATTTTAATTAAATTGTTATTTAATTTGAAATCTACCTAATCAATTTAATTTCAAAAACCACTTACAATAGTGTTAAAAATCTAGATTTATTATAGATTCAGTAAAATAATAATATTTTATGTAATAATATCAAATAAATGTAATTTTAAATATAGTTCCATATTTTACTGAATTTTACTAAATCAATATCAACTAAACACACTCTAGTCAAGTGTAAGTGGTGTAGTAGAAACTAATCGAGTATAGTTTGGAGATGACTTTTTTTACTAAGCTCCTCCAAACTATACACGATCAGTACGCAAAAATCGTGTATAGTTTGGAGTCACAGATTTACAAACAGGCACTACAAAATATACACGAGCAGTTTCCTATGGGTGCGTTCTGGCCATGTATAGAACGGAAAGACGCGTTGTGGACTGCCAACCATCTAAGTGATGGGAATGTATTACTTTGACGTTAAGTAAACCTAGTCTTGCATACCCTGTGGTGACAAAATTGACAGCAAATAGTCAACCTCGAGAGGTGACCACGGGCTGGAAGACGTAGTTAAGTGTGATCAGGCCTCCCCATTAGGTGGACCGATGATCTGGTGAAGATCACGGAAAGTACCTGGATGCAGGCAGCGAAGGATCGGTCGTTATGGAAATCCTTGGAGGAGGCCTTTGTTCAGCTGTGGACGTCATTTGGCTGAAAGGAATGAACGAACGATTAAAACAAAACTTTTAGTAACAATTCGTGCTCATTACATCAGCATTTTCCTCCGGCGATAACTGAACCGCAACTTCAGCTAGTCCATAAGTAGTCCAATACACAAGCTGTCAATCCTGTCGGCCGTTAATATGAAACTTACAACACCCAGTAACATTCAGTAGAAACTTTATCACAATACCTACTAGTAATCGCTCGCCCAAAGTAAATAGTTTTGACTAGTTCAACTAGTTCCCTTTCATTTGCCAAGACCCGATTAGTTCATTTGCTATCAGTTCCAATGTCTTATCAAAGTTCGGCCTTGAAGAGCTTTTTCGACAGTTTTATTAGGAAGTGGGCGGCCAAATTAAGTTATGGATTGTCTACAAGATCTTTGACAAATCGACTTAGTGTGTAAACTTGCTATCAAAGAAGTTTTGCAGACAGAAACACAGTACAATTTATAAATAACTAGATATTTCCCGCGTGAAATTTTGTCTTTGAAAGAAAAACGTTATCGCGCGCGTCTTTTTAAAAAACCTGGATAAAAACTATTTTATGTGTCCTTTCCTGGAACTCAAACTATTTCAACACCAATTTCATAAATAAATGATTCGGTGGTTTAGGCGTGAAAGCATATCAGACAGACAAATCTAGCGACACAAATCTCCATAGGCTTTTGATACTCTGTTATAATAATCAGGTAAATCAATTCTACTTCTTTAGCTACAAAAATCATTTTCCTACATAACTCCAACGCATTTTCGTTACCTAATTGTTCATCAACAACGCGAAATATTAAGAGATCAATATCAACTTTCATAAACTTATTTCCAGATAAAAAGCGGCCCTGAAACCTACATCAACAGCGTCATAATTGGTTTGGTCTGCTTTCTCCCGTACTGCATCAACGGGGTGCTGGTGAAACGACTTGGGAAGAAGCCCCTCTCCTTAGGCGGGGGTGTGATAGCCATTGGAGGAATCCTCGCCCTCCGATGGGCCAGTTCGAAGACGGCTGTGGTGTCACTCTTCTCAATAAGTGCTGCTGTTCTGCAGTCTATGACTACCAACAACTTTGTTTTCACGATGGAAATCTTCCCGACTTCTATAAGGTGAGCCAAAGTTAATCTTATGCATCAGTATAGCTACAAGCTTGGAGGCCTATGTTCAGCAGTGGACGTTCTGAGCTGTTCCTCTAAGCGCAACCATTTTGAAGCGCTCCTAAACGTTTCCTCGTAGCGCATCTATGTTTACGAAGTATGTTGTAAGATGAATAAAAAGTATCAGGGCAAAATAAGATAGTGCGCTTGAATAGGTACGCCTCAAAATTGGTGCACTTCGAGGAATACCTCAACGTTCTGTGGCTGAAATGATGATGATAATGACTGGCGAAGTTTGCCTCCAATATGTAGAGGTAACGTTGCTCAATGGCGTCGATGATTGCCAATTCGAGATTCCAGGAATGTTTGTTAGTTCCTCCTCTGCACATGAGAACATTACTTACCTATATTTATATTTTTTCTAGATAGGCTTATGTAGATTTTGTTGTCATTCAAAAAGACTGCCTGTGTTTTTAAAAAACTGTTTTAGTCTTTCTGTTTAAAAATAGTAAGATAAAGCATCGTTAAAAAACAACACAAACACTCAACTCTTGCAGAAATTCTTTCCATTTTCTTATAAATTATCCAGTCTGCATTTTATGAATATTTAAACTAAGTCGCCAGCAATACAACGAAGGCCAAGATGAATGGCTGAGCATATTTTTAGATCTTTTGTGACTCCACTATGCAACAAAAGACCTTTCTATTGGCTCTTTGTCTTAAGATACAGGTGGCTATACTGTGTATTTAGAGTTTTAATCAGTCCTCAGATCCTATTGTTTTTGATTCTCATTTAAGAAACAACGTTGTTTTGTTGAGTTTTCATCAATTCATGTTGTATTGTTTCATGTTAGAGGTAATTAAGTACATTCGTTGGTATTTTTTTGAACTTTAATTGATATTGATTACGGCTTTATTTTCGGATCAATGAAAGCACCTCCTACTCATGTATTAGTTATTTCGATACTGTTAAACTTTTTCTATTAATTAACGAATAATAGGCGTGTAGTGACGGCAGAGTAGAATACATTTGTCACCAACCCCTATTCTTCCCGCGGGTGTCGTAAGAGGCGACTTAGGGACTACACATCAAACAGAGAATGGGCAGCAGCGCTCTCTGAAAAACATCAATCTTTTAAACTGCGATCTCCAACCCGCCTGCCAAGCGTGGAGATTATGGCAAAACCCTCCACTATAGTGGAGGAGGCTCATAGTCCAGCAGTGGACTGTAAAGGGCTGTTGATGATGATGATGAATAGGTGTGTATTGATTTTCTTTTGTTGAACAATTATATTTTCAAAGGTATTTTAGTTCATCCTTCCTATAAAAATTTAATTGTTTTTTTTTATTGATTGAGACCTTTGTCCAGACGAAATTGATTAAGAATGGAAATGTGTCTGAGGTATTTTTGTAAAAAAAAATTGCTAAGACGAAGGATGATTAAGAAAACATTGGACAGAAAGGTTCTGGAATGTAGGTCATGTACAGAAACCATGGCATCGTTAGGATGTCTACCTGCAAGGTGGACAGATGACCTAAAGACTGTAGAAAGCTACTGGATGCAAGCCGCTTTCAACTGGCAAGTCACAAAATCGTTGGGAGACAAAATGTTCCGCAGACTTCTTAGTAAGGCTGAATATCATGATGATGATAATGATGCTAATAATGATGGTGACAATGACGATGATAAAGGTGATGATGGTGATCATGTTGATGATGGTGATGATGATAATGACTCTAATAATGATGATGATAATGATGATGATGTTGACACAATATTTTCAGAGCATTCGCGACCTCAATCGTCATGACGATGGGTCGCTTTGGCACACTGATTGGGAACGTGTCGTTTCCTGTGCTCCTCAATATGGGGTGCAGTGTACCCTTCTTCACGATGACGGGACTTATGGTTTGTAAGTATCAAGTTAACAACTCCAACTATGAGATTAAAAATAAATTTAGCTAAAAATAGAGAAACACGGGGCTCAATGTGACATTTTTTATTTCACTTACTTATGTAGGTACTCACGGCTTGACGTTTCGGCTGCTATGCTGCAGCCGTGGTCACAAGCAAACCCGTGTTTCTCTATTTTAACTCAAGTATTTTAGCGCAATGATGAATCTTTTAAAATTATACGTTATTTTGTGGAGAGTGAACATCTCCATTTGTCGTAAGAAAATTAGAGATTCAAAATTCCTACTGCGGTAAATAATAAGTTAACTGATCATTTTGTGAAGAAAAAAATTACGAATCTACATTGGTATTAAAAAGATTAGTATACTATTTAATGCACAAGCACATACAAAACTGTTTATAAGTTTACTTTTTTTTGGACGTTTTAAAAGCCACTTTATTGTAACAGACTTCGATTCGATGAGACTAAAGTATAATTTTTTTATGGATCAATTTCCTTTATCCACTGCCATTATTTGTTTCAGGTGTGGTAATAATATCCTGTTTCTTGCCAGGGAAAAAGAAACAGTGTATGCAATAACTGAGGACCAGAGTAGAGAACAATGCGGTATTTTAAGATATAGTCTGGTCGCTGATCACGTAGATTTTTGTCCATTGACCTCAAGCTACCCATCCTTATCGCTCGTATACTCACTGCGGGCGCCCGTCGCACAGTCGCGACAGCAATATAATTACGCGCGAGCGATAAGGATGGGTAGCTTGGGGTCATTGGACAAAAATCTACGTGCTCAGAGACCGGGCTTTAATACTACCGGTAACATCTGGTGTAATCATCTACTTGTTTTTAACAAAAATGTATAGTTTCATGAACTGGTGACTACATAGTGTAATTCAGACGCATTGTAAGTTTTAATCTCAAATATATTAGTATGTCTACGAGGCAGGGATGTATCCAGTTTATTGTAAATATATTTATTACAAATACATTTTGGATGATATTTTTTTGTCTATTGTTTTTCATTGAATTCCTAATTACTAAAGTAATTTTCGAGTACAGATTCATACTTTATTGTCTTATGACAAGGCCGTTATTAATTTATTTATTGGGCTATCAACATGAGATGCAGTAATAAACAAAATATTGTTATTAAGATAAAATATCAAAAATTTTACAAATCTTATATTTCCGCCATAAAAAAGTTTTTACAGTAGCTTTAGGAAATAGTTTGGTTTCAAGCAAGGCTACTTTAATTCCTAAGCAAACAAAATTTGGGCTGTATCAAAGGAAATTCCTAAAGGAGACTAGCTCAAGAACGAAACTTTGCAAAATATTTCGTAGTAGTTCTGTCGCAGAACGTTACAAAAGTAGCTACAGTCAGCATATTCATTGGGTGTATTTTATATAGACCTTTATAAACTAACCTAGAGTTTTTTTGTGCTGTTAGTAAGTATCTAAATACTAGAAATAGGGTAATGTGGTCTGTTTGCGTCCACCTCTCCATTTGCGTATAAACGACGGATTATGTTTGATTTTTTTTGCAGAACTCTTTTAAAGTTTATGCGAATAAGAGACACGACTAAAACTTCTTTTTGAATCGATTAAAAATTTTCATTGACTCGGAGAAATTTTTTTTGGACAGACATATTATAACAACAACAACCCCAACACTAGCTCCTGAACTAGAAAAGCAGCTTAACTCAAATTAAAAGAGGTTGCTCAAAACGTTAACATGCTCATTAATAAAACAACCGGTCTGTTTACCCAAAGCTCCTTACGTTGCTGACCGTAGCGAACTTTGAACAAATATTTTGAACCATTATGGAAGTAAAAGTCTGACCTTTACTCCGTTTAGGTTAAAACCTGCGGTCGCTGCGGTTAGCTGGAATACTTAGCGTAGATGACTTACATGTACAGACAACATAACAAGGTAAACTGTGAGATCTTATGTAGTTACAATAGGGGCGAGTTTGCAACGAAAATATGTAGTCTGAAGTGCTGTGACCTTTTGTGCACGGTGATAAAGAGGTTTATACGAGTAAGATCTTATTTCATTAGAGCAAAAGGTATTAAAATGTTTGGGATAATCTGATATAAATAACTGACACCAATTTGTGAGATTTTTGTAAATTTTTGCATTGTGGTTTAATGAGTATTTTCACCACTTTTTTCACCTGTTAAAGTTTATATGCGAGAACAATGACCATAATAAAGTTAACATAATTTTATTGATTAGACTTAGATTAATAAAGCCTAGATAGATAGTCAGTGCACGAAAGGTGAGGCAGATTTTAGTGAGCCTGAATGGCTCACTCGTAAACGTCAGATGAACTGTCAAAGTGAAAAATTGATAAACACGTCCGACGACTTTTAATTAATTATGACGGTTTGCGCTGTGAAAGGGTGTCTAAATACATCAGAAAAACGAAAGAAAGTGACCAGTGTTACATTTCATAAGTAAGTACTACGATTCTACGCGTATTTTGCTTGAATTTGGCTTTCAAAAATTAAATACGGGAATGATACCAGTAACAAGAAAATTTATTTCCCAATTGTTAGCCGTACAAATACATTTCCTTTTTAATGAAATCGAGACTTAAGTCGATTTATCTTATTGTAATTAGGTAGGTACTTTGAATTCAATAAATAAGTAAGTACTTGATGCGTTTTGTTTTTGTTAATTATAAAACAAATAAAAACGTATTAAAAATTTCCCTACTTTCGGGGAAATCGCCTTCATTGTCCACACTCCCCAAGAAAATTAACACGAATGACATAAGATTTTTGCCTCACTCTTAACGAAGCGTTTGTATGAAGACTATCCATCTAGGCTTTATTAATCTAAGTGATTAGATTTCAATCAAAGTTGGGTGTGACCTCATTTCAAAATGTACTGAAAGAGAGAACTATATTTGAAAAGTTTTTGTCAAAGGCAAGTTTGTCAAAAGTGAAATAGAACCTCCCAAACAAATAAATACACAGGCATTTCACCTAAAAATAGCAGTCTATCCCATCTCAAAGAGCAACTTTGTTTTGAGTTGGTAAACTTACTTTAACTTGACATGGGGAGCTTAGCTTGGCCTCAAAGTGAGACCTAAGTTAGCCCAATCAGACATAGTTCAATCCGGAGTTTGCTACAACGAAGTTTTGTAATGAAAATTGACGTTAAAACGGTCATAGGACGGTTGTCTTTGCTCTTTTAATAAAGATTTATAAGTAGTCTTTTAGGGTTCCATACCCAAAGCGTAAAAACGGGACCCTATCTTATTCCCAATAACTGGAAAAAACAATCCTGTTGCTCAATGGATCGACGACTGTGAGTGCTGTACCTGTGCATACATTACCCTGTCGCTAGACCAGTGAATCAATCATCACCATCGTCATTAAATTTCAGCCACAGGACGTCCACTGCAGCTAGACATAGGGCTCCCACAATGACTTCCAAATCGCACGGTTGGTAGCGGCCTGCATCCAGCGCCTTCTTTCTACCTTTATTAAGTCGTCGGTCCACCTTGTGGGGGCCGTCCAGTACTGGAAAACGCAGAGAATCAATAGACTGCAATATTTTATTGCATTTGGTTCGAATATGAATGTTTAATAAAATTTGATTAGGACCTAGCATCAGTGTTACCAGATCTATCGCCAATATCTACTTTGAAATTCGGTTCTTACCAAGAAACCTACAGCCACAGGTTCAATTTCAACAATTATTAGTATGCATACTTTTCATAATATTATTATTTGAATTATGGTAAAAGATTGGCACTACTATTATATTGGGTTAGCCTGTAACAATAGTAAATGTGTGTGTATGTAAATAAATAAATATTGACACCATGTACGGACGACGGTGTTTCTAGTTAAGTTATTGAATTGAGAATTTATTGAGACCCAGAGAAAAACTTAGGATAGTTTTTATCCCTGTTTTGGAAAGGGGTGATAACAAGGTAATGTTTTTCCCTGGGGAGGTTGTTCTTATCCCTGCTTAGAAAGGGTGCAGAAAGGCGTAGATGTGATAAATATTTTTTCTAGAGAATGAAATTCGAGTTGCGAGCATTAAATAGTTACCTACAGTTACATTATTAGTAGTAGTTACATTATTACACTGCCGACTAGTACATTAAGACGCATAGGGTGGTCGCAACTTCACCGGACATGAAGTTCTGCGTTGAACTTCCAGCGACAATACAGTACAGAATACAGCGCATTCACCACAAATACACTTACCCCTCAACTTATAACCCGTCACAGCGTTATTAAATTCACTATACAGCAAAACTAGTTTCCTACAAAGATACGTCAAAGCGCTAGTATAGGTCCAAACAAGGCTTTTATAAACGTTACAGGCGTCGACACAATAAGCCGGACAAAGTTTCTAAAACAGCTAGGGGGTGGACTCAGGATGGGGGACAAATACCCCCTTTTGGACAGGTCAATTTGTTAAACGAACATTTTCTAGATTGCAGTTCGCTGTTTGCGTAGTTTGTTGGGTGAGGTAGTTTGTGTTGTTTTGTGGCCACTATTTGAATTATTTAAGTACTCACGACCGTATTCACAAACATTACTATAAGTTCTCACAGTGCGTGTGGACGCAAAGGGTGACACACGAACCAATCACGGAGCTCTATTCAACGCTGTGCATTCCATTTGCTGTTTCACTTAAACAAGCATCGTTTGTGGATTAGATGTTTAGATCTTCAAAGAACATACTTAATTCGCTTAGACGCCTGAAAATAACAATAATATCTTGTTTTCTGAGTCAACGGTCGAGTCGGATAAAAGCTATTCATTTATTTATTTATTTAGGGTCGTTTATGTTGTACAAGTAAATGTATCATCCTTTTAAATCTATACAACTTATAATAAGTACTTGAAGGATAATAAAAAATGTTCTACTCAAACTAAGAATCTGTATTTACAGCATTACTATTACATCATGGATTAGGAGCAGTGTTCATACAAAAGGTTATGTAAAGACAAAACCGAAAGTTACCTATTACAATTTACTGCCCACCCACAATTTTTTAATTTATTATTTTAAGTTGCCCTATCTCGTGTCTTTACTTCTGCAATCATTTGCTAACATATGGCTAGAAATTGTATTAATATTTTTGAGAAAATGTAGATAAAGCCTTGAAGGTTTCGTCAAATTGTTGTTACCTATGAAGAGCATTCTACAAGGCAGGCTGAATTCCCCCTACTTTAATCCACTTACACTAACTCAGTTTAACCAATCTCACAAAAGCCATAAAGTAGTTTTTAACGTAATCAAAAAACTTCTCGTGACCCCCTCCCAACAAATACCAAGTCCGTCCCTGGGCGCGCACAATCAACTACGACAAAGTTCCGAGTCCGCCTCCGTTTAATTTTGTCTCAAAGACGGAAAGGACTTCCAGTAATGATGAGATTTGAACAACTTTGTCGTTGTAAGGCTCGAATCAAACTTGGCTATACGAGATTATGTCATGGTGTACGGCTTTGAAGTAAAAATTGGGTGATTACATTTGGTGATGTCGTAGAAAATGATGTTGACAGCTAAAGGATTTTTCAAACAAAATTTTATTATTTTTAGGAGAGGAAATGTAATTTTTGCGTGAATCTTGTTTGTTGATTTCTTTTTTACCTCGTATCCTTCAATATGCTATCCCAACTAGTCCCAACTTCCCAACTAATATTATAAATGCGAAAGTAACTCTGTCTGTCTGTCTGTCTGTCTGTCTGTCTGTCTGTTACGCTTTCCCGCTTAAACCTCGCAACCGATT